GCAGGTGAATGATGCAATCGCACCTGTAGATGAGCATTCCATAAGAATTGCTCCAGAGAGGATCCAGAATGTCTCTCTGGAAGGTGATGTTTTAACCATTTCTCTCCACAGGGACTATGTTGAATCTGTAGATCTGGCAGGTCATGCTCAATTCCTTGCCAGAATTGAAAGGGTTAATAACAACTTATTCTTTCCTATGCAAATAAATGACTTAGGAAGAAGTAGGAATGCAAAGCTGGACTTACAGAGTGAGAACAGCTATATTAGCAGAAGTCTGTTAAAGCAGATCGCTAATCCTAAAATGATCAGGTACACTTCCCCACATGACAGGTGGATCCAGAATCTGGATGGCGAATCAGAGAGTTACAATGTGATAGCAAAATGTTTACTATCTATTTCCATCGGAAATAAGACCGTTAAACATTTATTCCTAGTGATAGACGAACCTCGCTATCAGGTTTACGTTGGCAATGATGTCATACATCGCTTTGCCATACACCTTGATCTGATTAATTCCAACTTGTGGACAAGGTTAAAAGGTAATCCTTGTGGATACCTACACGAGGAAAACGCCCTGAAATCAGGACAAATACTCCCATATGCGATAAGTTGCCAAGTTCCTGATGACATAACCATTCCACAGGGGACAAGTAACTTTCTTTTACCCCTACAGGTCAAGAAGGGTCAGAGATTGGAAAACTCTGATGCCCAAATCTGTTTATCCAACAGGATACAACAATTAGGGATGGTGGTAACACATACACCAATGGTAAGTATTGGTAAGAATCCCACCTATATCATGGTCAACAATGTTACACCCAATAGTGTTACTTTACCAAAAGGAACATTATTAGGTTTAGCATTGGATGCTGAGTACTATACATTTGGTTTCCAAAACCAAATTATAGGCCTCATCCCTGAAGAATACTTAACTGAGGACGAAATTGTCGATCAAATATTCCATTCCTCCCCAGAAGGATTATTCACTATCCTATCTGTGTATCCCTTCAACGTTGAAGAAGGCTCGTGTAAAATCGAAGAAGCATCTATCACCTTCGATCATCCGCTCAATGAGCAGGAATCACAAGAGTATCTCGACCAAAGAGAAAAGGTAAGTCAACACCGAACTGACCTAACTTCTAGGCTTGAAGAAGCTTATGAGATAGGCCAGCCTGAAATCTTTCCAGGATTTCAGGAAAGGCTAGAAGAGCAAATATCTTTAGCTGACGGTTGCTCCAATGATGCTGAGCGACAACAGCTAAAGGAAATCCTAATGGAATTCCAAGATATTTTTGCCAAAGATTCCTACGACTGTGGGTTAACAAACCTCCACGTAGCCAGAATACAAACTGATCCAAATTTACCACCTGTATTTATCAAACAATACAGACTCCCATTAGCATCATATGATGGGCTACAAGACATCATTCAGAATTTAAAGGAAAGGGGCATTATACGTCCGGTGCACAGTTCGTATAATAATCCGATCTTGGGGATTCTGAAACCTAATGGACAATGGCGTTTATGCGCTGACTTACGACAGCTAAATAAATGCGTCTATATGTCTGGTTGGCCAACACCATACATAGACCAATGTTTGGTACAAATGCAGAGATCCAAAATATTCACTGCCATTGACTGTGCGCAGGGATATTGGACTGTACCAGTCCATAATGAAGACCAATACAAATTGGCCTTCACATTTGGAAAGCAGCAGTATACCTGGACCCGTATGCCTTTCGGTTACATAAACTCTGGTCATGAATTTGCTGTGTTCATGCATAAAGCTATGCCTGACGCACTCGAGAGAGGAACGTTATCATATGTCGACGATGTCTTGCTGAAAAGCACTTCCTTTGATAAGCATATCTTGGAGATTAGACATGTTCTCACTCAGTTAAGGGAGGCAGGAATTAAACTGTCTTTACAAAAGGCACAATGGTGTCGCACCCATGTCAATTTCCTCGGACATGAGGTAACTTCTGAAGGATTAAATCCCCAGAGGAAGAAGGTTGAAGCCGTACTAAAGGCTAAAACACCTTCAAACATCAGGGAATTAAGATCATTCCTTGGTATGACTAATTACTCCCGTAAGTTTATAGATAACTATGCAGAAATAACTAAACCCCTCTTACACCTGCTTAAAAAGGAAACTACCTGGAACTGGGGGGAGCCTCAGGACCAAGCGGTAAGTGAACTGAGGAGGAAGCTCACTCAGGCACCCTGTTTAGCATACCCAGAGGGGGGTAAACCTTTCTATCTGGAGACAGGATATACAGATTTAAGCATAAGTGCTGTTCTGTATCAGAAGCAGGACAGTTTAAACAAAGTTATTGCATATGCTAGCAAGACTTTGTCACCTGTTGAAGTTAAATTCAACACGTGTGAGAAGGCGTTATTGTCGACTGTCTGGGCACTACAAAATTTTCGTAGCTATATCCAAGGTGAGAAAATAATTGTAGAAATAGCTCACCAACCTCTACAGTATCTGCAGAGTGAAAGAATTAGAGACGGTAATCTCTCTAACAGTCGGATTACTGCATGGACTCTATCCTTACAGGGATGGCCGTTAGAAGTCCGTTATAAACATAAGAGAAGCCCAGTTGCCCAAGGTTTAGCAGAATTGCTCCATCTCTGGATGATAATAACACTGGAGATGATTTCCTAGAAGAGCAATTGCTATCTCCTTATAAAGTTTATGACGAGGAATACTGTCGACCACTACCGTGGGTATACATTGATGGTTGTTCATATCACCACGTCGTTGGTGCTGAACGGAAGTTAGTTGCAGGTATCGGAATCGCCTGGAGAGGTGATTATCCCAATGTATCTATAGGATACAATATTGGTCCCAAAAGCAGTCAGATAGCCGAACTCTGTGCAGTATATAAGACCATTCAAATGGCAATAGAATATGGTATCAAAGAATTTGTTATTATAACTGATTCCAACTATGTTCGCAACAGTTTTGTCGAATATCTGCCTAGCTGGAAACGTAACCGAATGCTGAAAAGCAATAACAAACCTGTTAAACACGGAAAAAATTTTGTAAAATTGATGAACTGGTTAAGGAAAATGGTTTAACCATATATTGGAAGAAAACCAAAGGCCATTCTAAAATAGAAGGTATTGACAAGGATGGTAATGACTTAGCCGATTCACTGGCAAAACAAGCTGCCATCAATGGTGAAACCCTAAACATTGATGATCTTATGGGTTCAATTCATGTTGAAGCCATAACTAGACGACAGGCTAGAGATAATGCCGACTTAAATGTCGTGCAATGGAGTCAAGAAGCTCCTAGTGAGGACCTGATTACTAGTCAAAAGAATGATCCCGTCATAGGCATATTCTATAGACATATAGAAGACCCTACTGCCAATCCCATCACAGATGAGGATTGCAAAGATAATGAAGATTTACGAATCTTGATGAGATATAAAGTCCAATTTAGTATCATGGATGGGTTGCTGGTCAGAACTTCTAAACATGGTATACAACAATGGGTAGTCCCAACTGTATACAGAGGGTTAATGCTCCAACACGCACATGATGCACCTACATCTGGGCATCGTGGTGATAAGATCACATATGAGATATTGCGTGATTATGCATATTGGCCACACATGTTAAGGGATGTTAAGACATACTGTCAGGGATGCTTGATTTGTCCGCAATATCAACCCCATGGTCCAACCCATCGTGCACCACTTCAGAAGAGGGGGGTGTCATTACCCTGGTCTGATATTCAAATTGACTTTATAGGTCCTGTAACAAGATCTTCAAGAGGTAACAAATACATGTTAACCGTTACATGTATGTACACAAAGTGGATAGAATGTTTGCCTTGTAAAGAGAACACGAGTACCGTGTGCGCCACTTTGTTGATTAACCATGTCTTTTCCAGGTTCGGTCTGCCTCAAAGAATTGAGTCAGACAGAGGTAGTCACTTTACCAGCGAAGTAATGGCTAAGATGTGGAACATTCTAGGTGTTAAACGAAAGCTACATATTGCATACCGCGCTGCGTCTAGCGGGGGGGTAGAGCGATATAACCAGTCGATCGTTAATATTCTGAAGAAGTATGTTAAGGAGTCTGGTAAAGACTGGGACATTAAATTGCCCCTAGTTTTAATGGCGATTAGAGCTACACCTAGCACTGCTACCAAATTGTCACCTTTTGAATTGATGACAGGAAGAAAGATGGTTTTACCACAGCATTTACTATATCGTACTTCGGATCATAACTTGATCAATGCTGCCACTACGCATCAGTATATCGAAGATTTGCGCAAGCATTTACAGCATGCGTTTGCTTTTGCCCAAAAGAATCTAGAAAAAGCAGCGACAGGGGTTAAGACCTATTACGATTTAAAAACCACGAAAAAGGAATATGAGATAACAGATCAAGTCTATCTGTATAACTTTGCGCGAAATCAAGTCAAGGAAAATAAATTTTTACCTTCTTGGAAAGGGCCATATGTCATCATTGACAAAATTTCCCCAGTAGCGTACAAGATAAAAATTCCTAAGGATGGTGATTTTATTGAAAAGTGGGTTCACATTAACCAGTTGCGTGCTTGTCATCCTAAATCTCAATTAAGGATTATAGGTGTGGATTCAGACACAGAAGGGTGAACGACTAACCTGGATGAATGCTTGATTCACGTGGTATAGTATGATGTGAAATGTTGTGATGTGCCATGATCTCATGTACGTTCATGTCATTAACCATTTCCTTGCCATCCAATAACTAAATTTTCTAAGCAGGTTACTAGCTTGTTTAATTGCTATAGGCATATTGCTGAGGAGTCAGTAATAAATGTAGTGAGGGATGAAGTTATAAAGATAGAATTAGACAGAATACATATGTTGATGAATCATAATAATGTGTTGTCCTAGGCCAAGTGGTGTCACACTGTTATAAGTTTGTATGCTTAACAAACCTTGAATCATTAGTAGATAAGTCTGAACGAGTTCCTGATCCGTGACTGTCGAAAGATGTCTAAGAAGGATGTGGCGTGTTTCTGGATCATACTGCTCCTGTGCCAAGAGCTACGGACCGACCCAATTGCAGAGATGGGACCATCCTCCGGCATCCTGATTCAAGAAACACCAGGGTTCATCTTAACAGAGAAGAGGATCCTGACCCGACGTGTGTTCGTCAGCTTGGACCCCAAGATTTCCATCGAGAAGGCATACAACATTTCATCGATGCAGCTTCCTGCGTTACAGACTTGGTACCAGATGCACCTCCAAAGAGCACAGGACCATGTGCGAAACATCTTGGAGCAAGCCCGGAAACCATTTGTATCCAGTTCTATTCCGATGAGCAACCGACCCAAAAGGTTCCTCACCGCTATAATTGTTGCATTAGTTTGTGCCACTGTCGGTGCAGTTGTCGCAACTGGAATGTCTGCAGCCAACTCTATTACTGTCCAAAAGCTGGATATGGAAATCTATGCGCTAAAGCAACACATTAACGATATTCATCAGGTGATAAACCAGCAAAGAACACTTCTCCAAGACGTGTTAACTATTGTGGAAGACACAGTTGTTACAACAAATTTGCATTCGGAGTTAATTGCCAAATCCACTGAGTTGCACCAAAGTCATGACTTATTTAAGCGTGAACTTCTATTTCTGCATGACCCAATATTGTTCCACACACTTGCTTTTCTTGACGAAGTGCAAACTGGAATGATCGAATTGGCAGGGGGACGCATACCTCTGTATTTTGTATCCAAGGATATTGTTCATGCGATGATTGCCAATGTGGATGGAGAGACAATTGAGCCTATGCAATTAAATCTGGCCTTTGAGATGGGGAGCACTATACCTCTCTTAATTAATCCGGAACGTATGGAGATTTGCTTTTTATTGACCATACCATATGTAACTCCCAAAGACATTTTTCAAATGAAAACAATGTACTATGTAATAATGATATTATGGTTGATTGTACTAAGTGTAAAGTTCAAAACTCTTACAGGTACAAATATATACAAAAATGTTCATTCCACGCACGGGCCTATGTTAGAAATGATGTGATTGCACAATATGTCTGGTAACTTCCATAGTGCTTATTCATAAGCTAAATTAATTTTGGCTATGAAATGCACTAAAGGGGGGTTATGTCAGGGTATTTATATCGGCAGACATTTTGTGCTATGATAGAAACTAAAAGTGTATATTCTGAGTCACTCTGAACAGACCAGAATCCAAGAGGAAGAGGAATATAATCAAATCTAAATCCAGACAATTGTGACAGAGAAGATTAAATAATTTAATTTTACTGTCTATATATATATAAGGTACCATTGTATGGAATTGTATGGAAAAGGGTAAACTTAGTTCATGATCTGCCATATCAGAAATTATGGCAGGAATTGCAGACGCTAAGTCTGGACAAAATTTAAGAAACCCTTTGAAATTTTAAATTATGGCACTATAAAGATAATGCAAAATGACGTCAAAATAGCCACCAGGAAAAGTTAACTCTTTCCTGGATAGGTATGTTTAGTGGGACAAGACTGCCCTCTATAGACCAAATACCTAAATTGCGATCTGGAAGATAACCACACCTCTAGTGCTTCTATTGGGTTATCAACTGATGACGTACAGAGAGTCTGGCCCTTTAAAAGTTAAGACAAAGGGAAGAGAGAGGTAGGCAGGGGAGGCAGGAGATGCAAAGGAGAGGAGAGAGGAATTGGAAGTTTGGGGATTCCAACTCGGACAACATCTGAGACTAACACTCTACTCCTAAAACTCTAACACTTAGAATTTACTGACTTTCTATCCAACACCTCCATGCAGAGAGACATCCAAACAAGTTCCTGAGACTACTAATCGGATGAAATATCTACTCAACTGGTAATTATACTGGTTTCATTTAATTAATTAAATTAATTAAAATGTACTAATTGCATTATATATGACTGGATAAAGCACGGTCAGATTTCCATATTAAGAAATCTTAGTTAACTAAAGAATATATAGTTATAAACATTCCATTCTGCAGGTGGAATTAAGAATAATTATATATTAATGTGATATTATCACGTGTTAGCATACCGTTGTTTTTATCCAGGTGTATTGATGTGCTCTAAATTAAGATAAGATATCTTTTAGACAAATTAAAAACAAACTCTACTCATAAAATATGGTAGATTCTCTTATTGGATGGTTCCAGGAAATGACTAATGAACTGGTTTAAATGTTATTTTATTTAAAAATTGCATAAGAATAGATCCTAATTATCTAGGAGGTCTAGCCAGCATTGGAAGGGTTATTCTAATTGTTAGCTAAACTTTACGACCTTATGCTGCACTCCGAGGAATTCTGTTCTTCGCTGTGAAAAGTTTCACTTTCAGTCTGTGTTAAAGATAGTCATAAATAAAGTCTTGGCAGAAAATGCTATTTAGCCATTGAAACGTAATACCCATTCCTTTGTATTGCATATCATTTTATACTAGATATTCATTGATTATTGTCATGCATGTTACATATTATTATTAATTAACTTGTTATTATAAATAAAATCTATTTTTATAATAAAATTGTAATATTATTTATATGATATACTTCTCACTTAACACGATAACGATATTTGGGATCTGAGAATTGAATTAGTGGGCAATTCTCACTGTTACTATTATTATCCCATAAATATCCCCACATGTTCTAGGGAGGTAAGGCCAGCAACCTCACTCTACAGCATCAGAAGGATTACCATGGAGGGGAGATCAGCATCCTCACTCCCCAGCTGTCAGGATTAATAGTTGATCCAGCACGTAGAACTGTATCACACCTAGGACTAAATGGTAACGTCTTACTGGGCCTTAGAATGGCCGGACTTAACGTACCAGAGAATAGTCAGAATATTTGACAAGGTTGGGGACACAGAATGAGACACAACAATGAAGGAAAGCCAAAAGTCAGGGATACCAGAATACAGGGAAGTCAAACAAAGCCAAAGTCAATAACCAGAAATAAACGCTCAGAAACACACTCTTGGACAACCACTATGGGGAACCACAACAGGGCAATGAGTGGAAGTAAAAATGCGTTTAAATAAGCCTTTTACAAATTTGATTGGCCGAAATCGGCCTTTGACTCCAGAACGTGTACGCGCCCCTCCTACGTGACGTCACATGCACGCCGACTTCGTCATCACCATGGGCGGACATAGGGCTATAATTTGGCGTGGATCCACAGCGGCCGGCATCCACCTACGTGTTGCAGGAGTCAGGTACACTGACGCATGGCTGCTGAGTGCAGACATTGCAACCTGAGGATGGATATGTTACATTACCCCCCACCTGAAGACCACCCACCTGGCAGGCAGGACCCGGCTTGAGGGGAAACCTGGTGTGGAAATAACAAATCTTGCGACCAGCATGAATATCGGAGACCGGAACCCAAGAACGTTCGGCAGGCCCATAACCCCTCAAATTAACCAAAACTGTAATGAACCACGAGAGAACCTGGAATCGATTATGGAAGAGACTTCATACTCCTCCTGTCCAGAAACAACCAACGCGGGAGGTGGAACACTTGGGACAGTATACTTATTGCAAATAAGTAGTTTGAGCAAAGAAACATGAAATGTATTAGGAATACGTAATTAGGCTGGGAGAGCCAGAGAATATGAAACAGGATTAATTCTACAAAGGATACGAAATGGACCAAGGAATCTGGGAGCAAACTTCATGCTAGGAACTTTAAGTCCACTTGGTAAACAGGGTTGGCACCCTGCCATTGTCAGGATCTTATTCTGACAACTAAGTTTTATGTTCGTTTATTTCTGTTCCTTTAAATCCAGTACCTGTTTCTCACCTCCAGTGGCCTCCCTAGCTACTAGTCACCAGAGTCTCTCACCTGTATAGCATGAATCAAGTTCTGCTATAAAAGGCCACACCCAACAAACCAAGTGGCCTTTACATAGAACTTGATTTTCTTACTGAAAGACTTGAGATCCTGGCTCCTGTGAAGCAACCTGTGATTTACCTTCATTGCTTCCAACCTGATGTACTACCAACCCTACGCCATACCAACCTGGATTGCCTGCAACTCTGCTTTATCCTGCCAACCTGGTTTACTTCCAGCCCTGCTCCATAGTAACCTGGATTGCTTACAATTCTTGCCTACCTGAATTATACAAACTTGCATAACCCCTATCTGGACATTGCTGCTTACTCTTATTTACAAGGTGTTATTTTCTTACCCTGAAACCTTATTGTTCTTTATACCTGTCTTACTATTCTACATATACGTTTATCTCTAGCTTTCTTATTATTTGCAAACCTGATTATTATCTATGTAGGGCATATTGCCTTAATGTTTATTTCTCTCAATTTCCTCATCCTTATTATTTCATTCTATAAGTTATCCTGCTGTTTTGTCAATACCAATAAAGCCTCTATAGTTAACTCTGGCCAAAGCCTCCTATCTGACCTGAGCAAGATCATGACAGCCGTTTATCAGCATGAAATTTGAAATAATAAGCCGCAGTTCTGAGAGCGTAGTGCACTTTGGTCCACGTACCACAAATAGAAGCAAGGTGATAATCCAAAGCAGGGATAGCTGTGTCAGAGAACAGCCGGCAGAACAGTAGGATGACGACCGTTATTAACAAAGAATGGACTATGACCAGAAGAGTCATTGGTAGTATTGTTCCTGGCAAAATCGGCCCAGGGTAGTAATTCGGACCAATTATCCTGAGTGCTATTGACAAAGCAACGCAAATACAATTCCAATTACTGGTTATCCCTCTCAGCCATGGCATTGGTTTGGGGATGGTAAGAGGAAGAAAATGACAATTCAATGACCAACTGTTTATTGAAAGCCCTCCAAAACCGAGACACATACTGGGAACCTATGTCAGAAACAATATTGTGAGGAATGCCATGTAGTCGGACAAATTCTCGAAAAAAATAAGAACCAGATCTTGAGAGGATGGCATAAGGATGGTGGTATAGCCATTAGAACTAGGAAGTTCTACGATTAAATCCATGGACAAATGGGACCACGAACACTAAGTACGGGAAGTGGTTGCAACAATCCAGATGGAAGCTTATGAGGTACCTTAGAAACTGCACAAACAGAACAGGCCTGCACATATTCTTTAACATCTTTCCTGAGAGAATCCCAACAAAATGATCTCATGATCATGGATATTGATTTATTAATGCCTGGATGTCCAGCAGTTACGTTGTTGTGGAACGCCCTCATAACATTCTCTCTTTCTTATGTTCAAATGGCTTTTATTTGTGTCATCGAAAATGTACAACAGTGCGACAGGATAGCAAAATCGGGAACAGCAATATGATTATAAATGAATGTAAACCTAAACAATATGAATAGTAAGAAGGTATTACAGTAACAGTTACAGTAAACTCATCATGTTACATGCATTCAATATGCAGACATCTGCATCCTATGGTCATTCAGTAAGGGGTGAGTGTGTCACCTCTGGGTGAGCCAGGTAGTGACTGTGTAGTACGTGGCTAAGATTCGGCTGTTATCATAATGATTGCATAAAGCCTATGAGTATCTTCTAGGCGGGTAGGGGCCACTGTAGTGTCTGTGGTATAGCTAACCTGAAAGTTTAATTCGTAGGGGGGACTCGTCGTCCCACACAATATTGGTAAATAGTGGGTTTCCATTGAGTCTTATTTCCTTTGACCGTGCACACCTCGCGCAGGCCCTGTTTTGTCGTACGGGTGGTATAATCAGTTGGGTCAGTCTATAATAGTGGGCAGTAGCGAGTTAGTGGAGCATCCGTATAACACCTGAGGCCCAAGCCTGCCACATCCTCCTGTTTGGCTGCGGTTGAGACTAATGCGCACGGTCAGTGAGGTCAGACTCTTGCGCGAGGGCAGGGAAAGAGAGCAAGCTGTGTAGATAGGAGAACATGAAGACAGGAGAGGATGGGAAAGAGAGAGGAAAGATAAGCGAAAATAAAAATTTTTTAAAAGAGGGGGGATCTCGAGGAGCACCAGCGTTGTGCCCGTGTTATTCTTGGATCCGCGGTGTTCCATGCAGTTCGGTGTCACCAGCCCTGGGGCACGGTCGGGGGGGAGAGGAGTGTAGCTTATGGGTCGCCTTTCACTGTAATTCCTTCATGTGCATTCCTACTGGACCGTCGGGGCACAGGTGGGCTTGTTCCTGGCTGTAACCAGCTATTCTTCAGGATTAGTTGGGTGGGAGGGCATGACACCCAGGTGGTTTTCCTTGGAGTCCCTCCGTGTCCGCCGGGGTGGTCTCTGCGGTCTGGGTTCTCTATCCAGTGGTTCCAGGATCCAGTCCGGAACAGCTATAGGTGGCAAATCCAGACGCTGCAGGAACCGTGGGATTTCGTCCGGACAGCGTGCGGTGGCGCACCTGTATGCTGAAGGGGAAGCCCCATTTATATGGAATATTGCGTTCCCTGAGGGCAGCTGTTATGGGTCTGAGGGCTCATCACACTTCTAACGTGGCAGGGGAGAGGTCTTGGTATAGAGAGACCTCAGTGCCCTGGTATAGCCATGTGGGCCATGTTCTGGTGGAGCGCATTATGCGTTCCTTTAGGGGGAAGGAGTGAAGGCAGCAAATGAGGTCTCGGGGGTCCCCCCCCGGAGCCGGGATCTCAGGGCCCTGTGCGCCCATTCAAATCGTATCTCTGCTGGCGCTTCTCTCCCTAGTATCTGTCGGAACAGCCCGGTCAGCAGGATCTCCGCATTCTCTGTTCCCTCCTGCTCAGGTACCCCTCTTACCCTGATGTTGGAGCGGCAGCTCCTGTTGTCCAGGTCCTCCACCTGATGACGCAGGGCCAGTAGCATGTTGCCCTGTATTGTAAGGGCTGTGTCAGCAGCTGATGTTTGGTGCCGCGTGGTCTGTGCCTGTGCTTCCAGAGCCTGTATCCGGCCACCCTGCGCATCTCTTTCGGTCCTCAGTGCAGTCACTGCTGAGGTGAGGGATGCTGTGAGGGTAGACATAAGAGACTGCAGGTCAGCTTTTGTGACCATGGTACTTGCCAGGCATCTGATCTCTGCTCCAATATCTGCCAGCGTGGGGTGCTCCTGGTCTGAGCTGGAGGAGGCCGGGGAAACAGGTGCTGGGGTCTGCGGGTGCTCCGCTCGCTTTGTGCGCCCCATCAGGGTCGGTATGTGTAGTGGAGAGGTAGTATAATCCACAATATCTCCGCTTGTAGACAGGAACATCATATAATAATCCAGGTAACACAAGTACAGCATACAATAATCCTGGTAGCATTATATAAATCCTTCCTTCCCAAGAACTAGACGACACATAGGCTGGGAATCAACTGAGGTTTTAATCACAGGTCACAGTATTTATGTGGTTCTCCATGCAAGGGGTTTCCTTACTGACTTTACAGGGGTTGTACAGTAGGGGACTACATGGGGAACTTAACAACCAGGACATTTCTCCCACCATGCACTGCTGTACGAGAGGGATACTCCCACTAGAATATCCAGTTAAGTGGATTATCCCTCCGTGCAGCAGAACTGGCTTTTTACACAAAAATATATAACTTTAACATTATTCGTGCTATTATACCGAATGACCGTTCAGCAGATAGCTGGGGTCTGAGCGCATACTTCGTGAAAGTACCACTCAGATCCCAGCACAATTAGCCAAACGCCACACGAAGTACACTTGAACACACATTTTTCACCAAAGTCACGAATACACATGCAGAGATAAAATACCGAAAGACCGGTATTCCCGAACAGCCTGGAAGTCCAGCGGTATTCGTGCCATCGAGTAGCCGATTTTAGTTCCAGGCACTCGACGACAAAATACCGCTGGGCTAACAAAGGATCCAAGATGGCAGACCGCCGCGTGGTCGGTATCCGAACGGCGGCCACCCTGAACATCTATTAACTACTGAAAGATACAATGTTGCGATCCGTAATGGGAGCCACACGACCTCCTGTGTGTGGTCTCCCATTCAGTAGTTTGTTCGTTTCACGAACAGTGTTGAAATTCACAGTTCGTGAAACTACTGTAGGAATGCTAGTGGCTTTTGTGCCGGCAGCATACGAATGCTCTCGTTCGCATCAAATACAGAAAAGGGAACATGCACAGTTCAGATAGCCTTAAAGCTACAATATCACATGAATGGAAATACAGTCTTAAGTGGCTAGTTTTGCCACAGTATGCGTGCGGTAAGTGGCTATTAGCAACGTGGTGGCGAGGAGCTCATGCTGCTCGGACCTCAGACCACGCCCCCCAACATTCTCTCTTTCAAACAACGGAACAAATAATTAATCTAGTGGTTTATTGCTTGGTGCCTGAAACTGGGCCTCCATGATGGCGCCAAGCAGAGGAGATGACAAGGAAAGAACAGTGAAAGCGATGATACACTCAGGTGGAATAATAGGTGATGTCTCTTGTTCCTGTACTGATTCAGTATCAAACTGTCTAGATAAAGAACTCTCCGCAGTTGCGCCAGCAGAGGTCTGTGGGTGTTTTTTTCATGTGGTACAATTGAACAGGGGTGGTATACCACCGAAACATCGTTTTGTACGATTGTTCCTGCATTGTGACGCAAATGGAGGTTTTGGCGTTTGCCTCCCATATGTCTTGCCAGTCTATGCCCTCCAAGGCCTCCCCAAGATCAGCTTCCCATTTGTCGGTGTAGTGGAGGGGGCCCCATTCCCACGTGGTGGAGCAGAGATGGGAGTACAGGAGGGATATCATGCCCTTTTGGTAGCGTTCGGCTAGGCATATTTTTTCAAAGAATGTCAATTTAGCCTTGGCCGCTATTTTAACTGACTCTTGGCTAGCATAGTTTCTGAGCTGAAGGTACCTGAAGAAATCTGCAGGGGTCAGAGTTGTTCTAGTTTGTAATTCCGAGAACGGAATTATTTCTTCTCCTATGTAGAGTTGGTGGACTCGCTGGAGGTCTGCTCTCTCTAGGCCTTTGAAATCTCTAGGCCTCATACCTGGGACAAATGCCCTGTTTCGGTATATGGGAGTGAGGGGAGAGGTTGTTGCTGTAAGTTCGTATTTTATAGCGTATCTGTCCCAGATATGGATTGAGTTGGTGATGGCTGGGCAGTTGGTCCTCAGGAGTGCTCTGTGCTCTTTAGGGGTCCAAATGTAGAACTGTGGGAGATCTGATTTCATGATCAGAGTTTCCAGGTCGACCCATCTCCTGGTTTCTGGAGGGGTATGCCACAGTGCTATTTGTGTGAGGTGGGCTGCAATATAATAGAAATGTAAGTGTGGAAGGCCCAGGCCTCCTCTCGCTTTGGGGCAGTATAATATACCGGGCTACCCTGTGTCTCTTGTGCCAAATGAAGTCCGCTGTAATGGCTTTAGGCCGTTCTTCGTTATGGGAATGGGGGGATAGGCATTCTTAATGGTGATTTTGTTTAATGCCCAGTAGTCAATGCATGGACGTAATTCACCATCTTTTTTAGATACAAAAAGAACCCTGCACCAGCAGGTGAGGATGATTTACGTATGTGGCCCTTACTTAGGGAGTCTTATACTCTTCCATTATTCTTCTCTCCTGTGGTGATAAGGCATACACTGCTCCCTTGGGTGGCATATTTATGAAACAGTCATATGATCTGTGATTAGGTAGAATATTGGTATGACTCTTACTGAATACCTCCTTAACCCCCCAGTATTGCATGGGAACTACGGAGGCTTGAGGCTTACTAGTGGGTAATGTAATGATACCCACTCTATTGGTAATGTGCAACATACAACTCTCAGTACAATCCTTGCCCGATTCCAATATTTCCTCTCTTGTCCAGTTAATATGAGGATTGTGCTTAATAAGCCAAGGAAATCCTAATATGATGGGACAAGAAGGAGAAGCAATTATTTGTAATGTTATGTCTTCCTTATGTAAGGCACCAATGGAAATGTTAATGGGCAAGGTTTTGTGGGTTGAGAGAGAGGTCTCCAGTCAATAACCTCAACGGCCAGAGGTGATAATCTCTCCTTGATATATATTGAAAGTTTTTTTAACAAAATGTACATCAATTAAGTTTTCTGCCGCACCTGAGTCCATCAGGGCTTTGCGTGAAAAGTTCTTCTTGTTACATTTGGCCGTAATATCATGGAGGAATCTATTTTTGTTATTCCCAGAGGACGTATCCATCACACCTAAGACCTGTCCCCTTAGGGTTCTTAGGTATGGAAGTTTTCCGGACGTATGGGACAAGCACTCCTCATATGTCCTTTTCTACCACAGTATAGGCATGGACCCTCTTTTCTCCTATATTGTCTTTATGCCTCTGACAGTCTAGTGACCCCCAACTGCATAGGTTCGGCTTCGGACTGTACAGGGAGGTCAGGAACAATAGGTCTGACGAAATGAGGTGCTAATGACATATCCATACATCTGGTTCTTTCTGGTAGCTAAGTCCATTATCAATTTGCATCACAAATGTAATAAACTCATTTAATTTTTTAGGTAGATCTTTGGCAGCAATCTTGTCCAGAATTGCTTCGGATAATCCTTTTTTAAATGCAGAGATTAACCCGCTACTAGTCCAGTCTACCTCAGAAGCCAAGGTGAGAAATTCTATGGCATAATCTGAGATAGACCGGTTCCCTTGTTTGATATGCATTAGGGTAGTGGAGGCATCATCTTACCTGCCCAATGGTTTGAATGTTAATTTGAATTCCGCAAGGAATTCCTGGTAATTATGTGCAATACTCGTATTACTCTGCCATAACGGATTGACCCAACCTTTAAGTTGGTTCACTAGGTAACCAATCTTAGCTCTATCCAAGGGAAAAGATAGCGGTGAGGCCTCAAAGTGGTACTCAATTTGATTCAGAAAGCCCGGCATTCTTGAATATTCCCATCAAAAAGTGGGGGAGGAGATGGGGAGATAGAAGGTGCCTTATGTACTATAGGCGGAGGTACTTTAGGCAGAGGTGACATAGTCAGAGAACCTTCAGGCTGTAAATGCGCTGTTCGAGTAAGAAGCATACTGAAAGCCTGGGCAAATTGATCCATACGGTGATCATTCTCCTCTAGCTTTCTCTCGCAAGCTGCTAAGTGCTGACAAAATTCTACAGGATCTATGGCCATGTAATAATGTCAGGGTTACTAGTTGATCCAGCACGTAGAACTGTATCACACCTAGGACTAATAGATAATGTCTTACCGGGCCTTAGAATGGCCAGACTTAAAGGATCACTATATTGTCAGGAAAACAAAGCTGTTTTCCTGACACTAAAGGGCCCTGAGGGTGCCCCCACCCTCAGGGTCCCCCTCCCGTGGCACTGAAGGGGTTAAAACACCTTCAGACACTTACCTTAATCCAGCGCTGGTAACCTCTCCTCCCCGTCTGACGTCAGCTCCCCCGTCTGACGTCACTGGAGCCGAATGTGCATGCGCGGCAATTGCCGCGCGCACATTCAAAGTGTCCATAGGAAAGCATTTCTCAATGCTTTCCTATAGACGCTCTGCGCGATGGAGGTGAAATTTGCCTCCAGCGTCGCAGATGCGCCATAGGAAAGGCTAGAGCATGGATTAACCCCAAATGTAAACATAGCAGTTTCTCTGAAACTGCTATGTTTGCATCTGAAGGGTTAAAACCTGGGGGACCTGGCACCCAGACCACTTCATTGAGCTGAAGTGGTTTGGGTGACTATAGTTTCCCTTCAACGTACCAGAGAATAGTCAGAATACTTGCCGAGGTTGGGGACACAGAATGAGACACAAAAATGAGGCAAAGCCAAAAGTCAATAACCAGTCAAACAAAGCCAAAGTCAATAACCAGAAATAAACACTCAGAAACACACTCTCGGACAACCATTAAGGGAAACCACGACAGGGCAATGAGGGGAAGTAAAAATGCATTTAAATAAGCCTTTTACAAACCTGATTGGCTGAAATCGGCCTCTGACCCCAGAACGTGCACCGACGTTGTCATCACCGCGGGCGGACGTGGGGCTATAATTTGGCATGGATCCGCAGCAGCCGGCATCCACCAATGTGTTGCAGAAGTCAGGTACACTGACGCATGGCCGCTGAGTGCAGACACCGCAAGGTGTGGATGAATATGTTACACCAGCAGCAAAAAGATCCCCAGGGAGGGGAGCATCCTCACTCCTCAGAGGCAGAATATGTTCTCGGGAGGGAAGGCCAGCAACCTCACTCTCCAGCATTAGAAGGATCAAAAACTCCAGTAACATGGAGGGGAGATCAGCATCTCTACTCTTCAGCGGCAGAAGAATCCCCAGTGAGAAGAGATCAGCACCATCATTCTCCAGTGGCAGAAGGATCACCTGAGAGGGGAGGTGAGCATCCTCATTCCTCAGCAGCAGAATATGTTCCAGCGATGGGGAGGCCAGTAATCTCACACACCAGCATTATAATGACCACTGAGGAGTAAATCAACATCCACATTACCCCGTGGCAGAGTGTTCACCAGGGAGGGGGTCCACGACATCACACCCCAGTGGCAGAACGTGTTTCAGGAAGGGGAGGTCAGCAACCTCTCTCCACAGCGGCAAAGGATCACCAGGGAGGGGAGATCAACATCCTCAGTCCCAAGCAGAAGAATGTGTTCCGGGTACGGAGGCCAGCAACCTCACTCCCCAACATCAAAAGGATTATCCTGGGGGGAGGTCAGCAATATCATTCCCCAGCGGCAGAAGGATCTTTAGAGAAGGGAGGTTTAGCAACCTCACTGCCCAGTGGCCAAGATTTTCCCAGGGAAGGGAGATCAGCATCCTTAACGGCAGAATATGTTCCAAGTAGGGGAGGCCAGTAACTTCACTCCCCTGTGTCAGAAGGATTATCTGGGATGGGAGGACTGCATCCTCACTCCCCAGTGGTAGGACTATTTCCTAGGGGTGGAAGCCAGCAATCTCACTCCCTAGTGGCAGAAGGATCACGAGGGAGGGGAGGTCAGTAACCTCACTCCCCAGCAGCTGAGTTTGTCCCAAGGAGGGAAGGTCAGCATCCTCACTCCCCAAAAGCAGAATATGTTCCAGGTAGGGGAGGCCAGCAATCTCCCTTCCCAAGAGCTATATGGCGGAGCTTTGTCCAATAGGCTGACAGGGTGGATGTACATTTTGGGGCTAGTTACCCAACTAACTCAAGAACAGACCGATTGGAGGCCTGGTACCTGGTTAGTCTACCCTTTTGGGTAGACTAAATAGCAACATTAGGTCTCCCCCTTTTGGGTAAACTAACCAGGTACCAGAAGTTCCCATGCCACGTCTTTTTGGAGAAGACAGACACTAAAAATGGCTAGTGTCACTATGGGAAGGTGTGATGGAGACTCTATGGATGCTTACTTTGCCTCCCAGCTGGTATTGGGGACCTCTGGGGATCTCCTAGACCTGTACTGCACATTGAGTGCCTTACTGGGAGATACCCTAAAATGTACTCGAACTGTTTGCCATTGGGTATCGCTCGGTCTCCTGACCACCAATCAGGGCACTATTTAGACTTAAATGGCGATCAGAGAATAGTTGTGACCCGGAAAATCTTTAACACGGTCTAACTCTGGTGCTGATTCTTCGATCAGGGCACAATTTAGACAGTAAGGGCACTTAGTAACAAGCTATCCAGGGACATATAATGTGTGGAGGTGCTGTGCAGGGGGTTTTGTGGAGCATTTTGTACATTATCTAGGTCTGGGAAGGTACAGCAGGGGGTCTATAATGTTAGCTGGGGGTGATGCAATCAAGAACTAAGATAGAGTGGTGCCAGGAGGGACTATTGTAAGGGCCATTGCATTGCACGGAGGAACCGCTGGTGTGGGAATCCACATCACTGTGTATAAATAGCTGTGATGTGTACAATAAAGCTGCATTCTACTTCCCTACATTCATTCTTGACTGATGTGTGGGATAAAGCTATAGTCACTGCTTTACAGGAGACAGTGGCGGATCCAGGGGGGGGGCAATGGGGCAATTGCCCCCCCCCCGAGAAATCCGCCGGTCTCCCTCTCCCCTGCCAGCAGCACATGCAGGCGCCAGCCCTGCAATGTGCCTGCGGACCGGGGAGGGAGATCAGAGCTCTCCCTCCCCGGTCCGCAGGCACCGTGCTGAGAGCCAGGCAGGGGAGGGAGAGGGAGGAGAGAGAGGACCCGGAGCTCAGACTGCAGCTCCTCCGGGTCCTCCTCTCGTGAGATTTGGAGCGTTGCCGCGGTTACCACGGCAACGCTCCAAATCTCACGAGAGTGAACTCTAGCCCGGGAGCGTGGGCTAGAGTTCACTCTCCCCACTGGGACCACCAAGGAATCACCACTGGGACCACCAGGGAACGAAATATGTCCCCCCTCCTCCCCAGTAAAGGTAGGAAGAGAGGGGGGACATAGGATAATATTTTTTTTAATTAAATAAAAAAAAAAGATAAAAAAAAACAATACACACATACATTGCCCCCAATACTGCCCCCCCCATTCAGACAAACTGCCCCCCCATTCACACAAACTGCCCCCTATACACACCTGCCCCCATTCACACAAACTACCACACACATACTGCCCCCATACACACAAACTGCCCCCATTCACACAAACTGCCCCCTATACACACATTACACACCTATACACACACCCCCATACACACACTGCCCCCATACACACCATACACACACTGCCCCCATACACACACACTGCCCCCCATACACACACCACACACACACACACACACTGCCCCATACACACACACACTGCCCCCACATACACACACTGCCCCCCATACACACACTGCCCCCCCATACACACAACGGCCCCACACACACAAACTGCCCCACACACACACACTGCCCCACATACACTTACTGCCCCACATATAAACACTGCTCCCCATACAAACACAAACTGCCCGCCATACACACAAACTGCCCGCCATACACACAAACTGCCCCCATATACACAAACTGCCCCTCATACACACGCACTGCCCCCACATACACACATTGCTCCCCCATACACACACACACTGCCCCCCATACACACAAATTGCCCCCGCATGCACACACACTGCCCCCCATACACACACACTGCCCCCCCATACACACACACTGCAACTGTTACACACACATACTGTCCCACACATACACTGCATCCCTGACATACACTGCCGCCCTCACTCATACACTACAACCTTCACACACACACTGCACCCCTTACACATTGCACCACTCACACACACCACTGCTCCTATGCCCTACTACAGCCCCATTTCCCAGCAGATCTCAGGTAAGTTGTCAAACTGTTCTTAAACGGTTTGACTACTTACTGTGGGAGGGGGTCCCGGCACTATTGACACCATAACCACTACACTGAGCTGTAGTGGTTATTGTGTCTGGATTATTTCTTTAAATAATCTACAAGTGCCCCTCCCGAGATCAGGCTCTGGATCCGCCACTGACAGGAGAGAGGGTCTCCATAGCTATTACCACTGCAGAGAGTTATAGCCAATGCAATCACTATAAACACTGCAATAAGCTATAACCACTGAAGGGAGCTATAACCACTACAAGAAGCTATAACCACTGCAGGGAGCTATAACCACTGAAAAGAGGTATAACCACTGCAAGGAGCTATAATCACTGCAGAAACTTATAATCAGTAAATGTCCTCAGAGACCCCAGTCAAGGAACTGCCTGCAAGAGGTCCTGCAAGCGCGAGTTAGCAATAAGGGTGAGAGCAGCAGACAGATGATGCAAATTAAATTGGAATGACTGAACATATTTGTCTTTAATAAATGAGAATTGCCAAACCGGTCAAAATCAGGTCATTTTCTCCAAATTTGGTAAACCTAATAATTCACATTGAATTTCCAAGAATTCACACATTAGTGAATTACCATATATCTGTTTAACAAATGTTGCTATTTATAAACATACATCATAATAAACCACAAATATACATTTTAATAAACCACACTAGCAAAAACTCCAGTAACTCTCTAAGTACAGTACATCTCCTACACTAGATACAGCACAACTTACACTTACAGCATGCTACAGCAAGGCATTTAAATGAAGTATCGTGTAACTCACGCACTGACTAGTAGTACATACTGTATTCATGCTATTAAATGCAGTATAATGTAATCCACACACTAGTACTACATACTGTTCACATGCTGCTGTTTACACTGTAAATGCAGCCCCCCAGGCATACACGCGTCTTTGTTTACACGCTTTGATCATTTGCATAATTCCACCCAACACAGCTATCTATCCTATTGGCATCAGTGGGCTGGGTTTATCATCCCCATGTGGGTAACATGTAATCTGCATTGATTTCAGGCGATTTCATCAACTTCTCAGAGACGGTGACCCCCAATACGTATTGTGGGAGATCCAGGCAGTGGGCTGAACACAGTACGCACAGGGGACTGACTGCTGCTCTAACACCCTGCAACAAGGTAAGTACTGCACATGGGAAGTTAATATTAGTATTATTATTATTATTATCGATACTGCTACATTTATTGCATTGCACAAGGTACAGCTCCCAGGGACATGTCTGGACTTATTATTATACCTACTTCTTGGGCACTGAATATTGTGAGTGCTATGTGTTTCAATGACTGTATCATTTGACAATATCTGAGTCGTTGAGCCTAGTGTGTCATTGCACTTAGAGTGTGTAGTATATTATCAGTACATCCTGTGTATATTTTTTTGTGTCAATTTGTGTGTAGATTGGGGACAGGGGCAATGTATGAATGTGTTGTTTTTTTGTTGTTGTTTTAAGCTTATGCAAGGAAATTGTGTCCTGTGATGTAATAAGTTGACCTGTTTTCATTCATTACAATGTACACTGTGTGATGGTTTCTAATAGTCTTTATTTGTGTATATGTTAAGTGTTTCAAGTTCAAGCCCCGACTAAAAAATTAATTTCACTTTTTTATATATGTATATATATATATATATATATATATATATATATATATATATATATATATATAAAAATAAAGGTACATAAATAATGTAAAATATTAAAATACCTGTGATTACAATCATTTTTTTTTTTTTTGGGGAGGAGGTACAGTAAAGGGGTGAATCTGCTTTTCATTCTTACTTTAGAACTTTGTGTTATGGATGTGACAATCATCATATGTTTGTGTTACTGACAGTGTCACAATGTGTCAGTGGTGTTGCTGTGGTCCCCAGACTTGCTGCTGGTGTAGTATTTTTAGGATGTGGAGGCGGCTGGCATTTCATGATCCTTCTTCAGTGTGTGACATGTGCTCCTGAACAAGTCAGGGCTTGTAGAGAGTGACTGCGGAGGGACCCCGCACACAGGTTTCATTCAGACAGCAGGCTGGCATGGGGCTCTCCGAATACCTCTGAGACATGGCTGGGCTATGTGTCTGCTGGCATTCTCCAGGACAGGGGGCTGCAAGGTGGTGGGCGGATGGAGAAATATGGAAACTATGAAGTGATTAGACGGTGGGGCCCTGATGGTGTCAGGAATTGGAGAGCCCAGTCTGGCAGGGATTTAACATGCCTTTACTGGGGTTTATTTACTAAACTGGGAATTTCAGGGAATTGAACATTGCATTTTAATTTGAGGTTGGATTATCTGTGTTGGAAAAAAGTATATTTGGAGATGTATTTATTGTTTTGCATTCTGGCAAATTGCAAAAGACCAGTTTAGTGAGTCGACCCCTTAGTTATTCTCAAAGGCCTACTAGATTAAATATGTTCTCCCTGATACTGTGAGAATAAAAATATACTATACTTTTCTATTATATAGGGATTCAGAGGATTGTAGGTTGTTGTCCAGTGATATGTTGGAGGGGGCCACAGTTGGACACCCCTGTCAGATACCAATGACCCCTGCAGCACACTGCAATACAATAGGAGGGTGACATTGCAGTTACAGAATCAATGCTTTTGCTGAATGTAATGTGACATATTTATATATTTTTTCCTTTTTTCTTTCTTTTTTTAATTTTAAATTATTTAACATGTGTATGATATATTTACTTATATATCCCAGTAATTTATTTGTTGGAACTCTCCTATTTTGCCTGTTTTGAAATGGGTGCTGTAATTATATATATATATACAGTGTATATATATTATATGTATTTATTCATTTATATATTGACTCCTATTTAAACAGTTGTTTCATTCTTACCAGGGTGAATGAGCAACCATTTTTTAAATAAATATAATCATTTATAATAATATCTTAAACAAAGGACATTGGTGAAAGCAAATTAATTACAATAAAAAAAAAAAAAAAATCCCCCAAGGGTATATATATTTTTTTTACTTATTATTATTGAAATATAAGTTATATCAGCTGTATTTCTTATCATTTTTATTACTAGTAGTATTTTTTTTAAATTCTTTATTAATATTATTGTTAATATTAGTTTCTATCCAGTATATTGTTATATGGCCCATGACGTAAATTCATGGACTACTTACTGACTGCTGTAAATGTGTTTAATAAAAAAACACCACGTGCCTTCTTACTTTTTATACTGTTTGCTTCTGTTTTCTTTTCTAAGCTAAGTTTGAGAAGTTTTCTAGAGAGAAATAAACAATTTCCATGTTTGAAATAAGTATTTCCATCATAGCAGAAATAAGGCCAAAATTCACCCAAATCTTTGTCCTGCTTTTAATTATTACATGAATCATAATTGCCAACTATTAGATCCTCTGCCAGTAAAGGAAGGAAATTAGACATTTAGTAGGAATGTACTGCAAGTAACACTGCAATGGATTCTCATCTGTTCAATTTTTACAGTCGCTTACCACAAAATGGTGGGGCCTCCCTGCAAGGTTTTCATAGAAATATTACACTTTTGTAGTACAGTATATATCTAGTAGCATTCACATTATATTTGCATATATCCGTTGCATATATCACAAATTTCTTTTTAAGAGAGATAGTCCCTCTTTCTGTCCAAAGACTCTATGGTGTCTTGTTTTTGGAGTGCAGAATATTTGTCACTTATTGCTGTTATAATTTATAAAGCACTGAGATATTCAGAAGCACTGTGCAATAAGTGGACTAACAAACAAATAGTTTCAATAAGGTTGGTGGACATATAGTGACAGAAGGTTGTGAGGGCCCTGCTCAAACAAGTATTTTCAGAGGGGAATTAGCACTCATACCTGCACGTTAATGAACAGGCAAGGACACTTTGGCATAAAAGGAGTGGTCTAAAATGTACCCCGCTAATCACTTCTTGTGATGTTATGGGATGTGATGATGCTGGCTCGCGCTGGCATTGTGCACTTTGAGCAGGATAGCTAAGAGCAGTATAGCATTGACTATCGCTACTATTTGCACTGGTAATGAAGTTATAAATTTTGGTGGTCCATGAAGGAAAAATTGTGGACCACCGAAAATATATTCAATAAAAGACTATATCTATTTTTTCCCTCACCCTTTTTTCCTCTCATTTATTTTAAATCAAATACTGTGGATTCTGGGGTGAAATCACTATGGGGCATTTAACTTCAACTTGCAAAATAAACTAAGGATGAACTGCAATATTTTTTTTTTTTTTTGGTGTATTTGGCCTTTTTAAAAAAGACAATCAAGGTTACCTAACCTGTGTAGTAAATGCTGGGGGGTTTGTTATATGAGCGTCATATGCATAGGTATCTAATTCTGTTAAATACAAATAGGTTGATGTTGTTTTTTTCAATAATAAAAATCACCGGCCTTAAACCAGTTCTTATTTTGAGTGTAATTATTTTAAAATTTTCTTTCCATATCACCTGCATGCATAATAATATAGTCATTACATGAACATGAACAGGGTGGCAATGTTATTGAATTCAATTGAGCATAACAAAAAAGTTACTGTTTGACATTTGTTTTAATTATATGTGTTCCTTATTCTTTTTCAGAATAGTCCCCCCTTTTTTTTTTTTTAACCAATAAATAAAAGAGCCATACAACTTAAATGAATTCCAGCTTCAGGACAATGTCTTCACTGCAGCCTGATCCTCCTCCCGTAAAGTCATCAAGACTTGATTTTTGTCCATTGAAATGCTTTTCATAGAGAAGCATTAAGGGCACATGACACACAATCCCTATGAACCGCCAATCTAATACATGTTTAAGAGAAGCATCTGATGTCTGCATACTCTGAGTGTTAAAGGACCACTATAGGCACCCAGACCACTTCAGCTTAATGAAGTGGTCTGGGTGCCAGGTCCAGCTAGGGTTAACCCTTTTTTTTATAAACATAGCAGTTTTGGAGAAACTGCTATGTTTATATTAGGGTTAATCCAGCCTCCAGTGGCTGTCTCTTGACAGCCGCTAGAGGCGCTTGCGTGCTTCTCACTGTGATTTTCACAGTGAGAAGACGCCAGAGTCCATAGGACAGCATTGATAATGCTTTCCTACGAGACTGGCTGAATGCGCGCCCGGCTCTTGCCGCACATGCGCATTCCGCCGGTGATGGAAGAAGAGGGAGGAGAGGAGGAGGAGAACTCCCCGCCCGGCGCTGGAGAAAGAGGTAAGTTTAACCCCTTCCTCCCCACAGAGCCCAGCGGGAGGGGGTCCCTGATGGTGGGGGCACCCTCAGGGCGCTATAGTGCCAGGAAAACGAGTATGTTTTCCTGGCACTATAGTGGTCCTTTAATACCTAGACTGCCCCCTTTAAGGTACTTAAAGCCCCATGCACTGCTTGGACTTCTTGGGCTCATTTTATACCATTGTTAGAATTGTTAGAATGTATTTATCTATGTGCACTGTGTATTTTATTGTTAATTGCAAAAATAAACAAATACTTGAGTTTGTGATATAAAGTTTGTAGCTCTTACTAACAGTAACATATACTGTGCAATTACAGGCCTACTGTATACAGCATCAATATCTTAGTCATGCTCTGAATTGAACCTGCACGCATCAAATACTTGGTCACTTACCCAAGAATAAAGTTACAGGTTCAGACTCATGTTTAAAATGTTTATAGCAACAGGATCATTCCTTCAACAGATAAGTAAAAGTAGCATAAAATATATAGAATGCAGTGCACATCAAAGAGGTCAAGAACAGGATTTTAACATACGGTTAAATGAAAGTGTATCAAAACAAAAGGAATTAAACAGAGAATCAAAGCAAAATAACATTCATAAGAACAGTTCATGCATAACACTTTGAAAAAATTTACTAGTGAAATTCCTCGCACTTACTGAGAATGCATAAAAAGCTGATTTCCAAAGAGCCATGCTATGATTGAGACCTCTGATAAAGACTACTGTTTTTTGCTACATATAAATCTGTTATAACTATAAAAAAACAGGCTCCAGTGCCAGAATCGATGAATGCACACCACAACCACCTGATAAGGTTTCTCATTTGTTAGCCATTGTGCTGCAGTGTGTGGGTATAGTTCTGCATCCCTCCTGCCTCAGTGCTCCCAACAATGCAAGAATGAAGGCCCTGCTTGAAAGGCCTCAGCTTAGTAAAAACTATAGTCCTGCATTCTCCGTTGGGCATGTCTAGGGTTGGACTGGCAATAAAAAGAAGCCATGGATCAAATTTTATACCAGCCCTATAATGCATTGCATCAGCATACTGCACAGATATACAGGTGGGGTAAAAAAATTGCACTCTGTGGAAATAAACTAAAAAAATACTCCAAGCACCATAACCACTACAGCATAGTGTAGAAAACAAATTGAACACTCTTTCACCTAATTGAAGTAAGACTGCTCTTTTCGTGGCTGCCAGCTCCCTTCTGCTCTCTCTTTGGACATTTGCCTTACTGTCAGCCCCTGGGATATGACGTCAACAATCCTAGTGGAATTCAACAAAATACAGTACACAGTCCCTCACTGTTTTACTGCCCCCCCACCATTCCATCCATAGAAAGCACCGTCCTCCATTGCATGGTTAGTCATTATTTATTTATTTGCTTACGCCAGAGAAAATTTCAGCAGCAACTTGACAGCAGCCAGTCCCAGGCTAGGGCAGCCCCGTAGAAATCTTGCAGTCCTGGTTATCCCAGGATCAGCAGATCGACCCCGGTAGTTGCTCCAGTTCCTCCAATTCATGGTTGATGGATAGATAGACTTTTTAATTATTATTTTTTATTTATGGTACAATCCACAGGCAGGTTACTAGACAACCAATAATATGGTCATCCATACAACAATATTTACACAGCATGTAAACTGTTGACTTCATATATATATACACACACATATATATATGTGTGTATATTAAACAGGCTTTGGATTGAATTTTGCATTATCAAAGATAAGAATGGTCTAAGACCCGTCTGAATATGACTGTGATAACGTCATCATTAATCCCAAAAATAGGAGAATGGTTTTACAGAAGACAAAATGGGTAATTTATGGTAGGTTACAATAGAGTGGAAAATAATTTGTCAGTAAACAAACAACTAAATATAGATGTTAAAGGGACACTATAGTCACCAGAACAACTACAGCTTAATGTAGTTGTTCTGGTGAGTATAATAGTTCCCTTCAGGATTTTTTCATGCAAACACTGCCTTTTCCGAGAAAAGGCAGTGTTTACATTGCCTCTAGTGACAACTCCAAGTGGCCACTACTTTGATGGCCACTGGAGGTACTTCGTGGGTCAGTGCTGCCGAAAAAGCAGCCCTGACGTTTAGCGTCCCCAAGCTCTGCATGGAAACGCTGAATTTTACTCATAGAGATGCATTAATTCAATTCATCTCTATGAGGAGGTCCTGATTGGGCAAAACTGCATTTGACCCAGCCCCCGTGCCAATTGGCTAAAAATCGGCCATTTTGATGATGTTACAAAGGGGGCGGAGCCAGCACGGCACTGGAAATAAGGTGAGTTTTAAACTTTTATAGGGGGATTAAGGGGGGGCAAGCCACCTTAATGGTGGGTTAAACACTATAGAGTCAGGATACACATTTGTGTTCCTAACCCTATAGTGTTCCTTTAAGAATACCACCAAATTAGGGGGGTATCCATCTGAGAGCATGATGGAATATTAAAGCTGTATACAATTAAAATATAATATAAGGTATTCGAAAAGTAATGTTCAACAACCTGTAGTGAGATTTTATTTCATTTTACATTTATAAATATAAACCCTACTGAGTATTATTCGTGCTTTTCTGCCAGTTGTTCGGTAGATTCAATCTACCGAACAACCGCACAAATGAATAGACCACCTGGGAGCTGGAGTGTGCCGGCAATTAACCTCCCTGAAGCTGCGGTTAACCGCAGCTTAATTGATGAATGCTGGGTGGCCGCCATTTGTATCCCGAACACGAGGTCGCGGCCATTTTAAACATACGAATGCACAGCGGTGTTCGCCCCTATTTTCATGGAACTAAAATCGGACACAGTTTTGCACGAACACCGCTGAAGCCGCCGACCTCCCTTCTTGTTCGGTGGAAGTGCACGAACGGCCGGTGTTCGGTAGTTTTGTTCAAATGTGTTATACCCCAGATAGGAGTCCCATGGAGCCCATTCGTATGAAACTGACTGTAAAGACTTTGGCTCCATGGCGATTAAACTGTATTCGTGTGGTCTGAGTGCCATTCGCTTAATAATGTGCGCTCAGACCTGAGCTATCTGGGGATATGTTACATGTCTGTGTTTTATGTAATAAATGTTACTTTATGTATTTTAAAGTATAATACTGGTTTTGTATCCCCACATGTGTAATGGAGTTTTGCCTTTGTCTTGGGAGATAATTTAATTACTTCCCAATTATCTCCCAGGGCAGAGGAGAGGAAGCCAGGATGCATCGTGGGAATATACTGGGACTGTGTGTCCTATTTGTCTACTTGTCTGTCTTTTGTCACAGTCTCCCATTTGGTCCCCTAGGGGAGTGTCCACCAGGTGGGAGACCTGCATAAATACTGGGCAGGTAGCCCTCATTAAAACAGACCACTGCTTGACCCTCTACACGGAGCCTTGTCTTGTTCTTGGGGGGATTCACTGTATGCTGTTAGAGACTGATTGCCAGGAGTGTAAGCTGATTGTCTGCTTTTCCTGTTCGTCTGCTAGCAGCTATTTGGGAGGTTCCAGTTCGGGAGTTGGAGTGCTATTTTGTATCCAGTTCGGGAGTTTGGTGTTGTGCAGTAGCTGTGCCTGTATCTCTGGAAAGGGGGCTGATCGCCTAAACATTTTTTACCCCTTGTGTGCAAAACGGTCCGTTACACCCTCCTTTTGAAAAAATATTCTGCACTTGCGTGAAAACTGGTGGGCGGTAAGGAAATTTTTTCAACCAAAAAGATGCATTAGTGGGCGGTAGGTAGAAAAAGGTTGACTACCACTGGTTTAGACAGACATTCTCTAGGGCATCTGACTGAAAAAGAAATTCAGTTAATGAATTTATATGACATCTGACATCAGCTCGAAAATTAAATGGACAGTGGACGTTGTTTGCAGGACAACAATAAAACATTTAGTTGCCTCTTATAAAACTGACTGGGTGCCCCATCTTACTTACCTATGTAATTATGCACTCATACAGATACATACACAGAGACAAGTTTATTTATATTCCACTTTATACTAAATTTTAAAGTGAATTTCAAATTCAAAGGATCACTATAGGGTCAGGAACATAAACATGTATTCCTGACCCTATAGTGTTAAAACCACTATCTAGCCCCCTTGGGCCCCTCATGCCTCTATTAATATAGCAAAATCTTACTGTATTCACGCCAGAAGCTGTAGCTCTTCATGCTGTTAGCCTAAAAAAAAAAAAACTAGCAGTCTGAAGTGGTGGCCTGATCCAATCACAATGCTTCCCCATAGGATTGGCTGAGATTGACAGAGGCAGATCCGGGGCAGAGCCAGCAAGATTCAAACACAGCCTGGCCAATCACCATCTCCTCATAGAGATGAATTGAATCAATGAATCTCTATGAGGAAAGTTCAGTGTCTGCATGCAGAGGGAGGAGACACTGAATGTTTGGATGCATTTTAGGGAGCCATGACCCAGGAAGGATCTCTAACAGCCATCTAAGGAGTGGCCAGTGAAGTTATCACTAGGCTGTAATGTAAACACTGCATTTTCTCTGAAAAGACAGTGTTTACAGCAAAAAGCCTGAAGGTAATGATTCTACTCACCAGAACAAATTCAATAAGCTGTAGTTGTTCTGGTGTCTATAGTGTCCCTTTAAGTTTAAAATAGTAAAACTGGAAACATTCTCTCATCTATGTTTTCAGTTTGCCTATTCTGGTCTTAAATTTAAATTCACTTTGAATTCTCACTTTAGTGAAGAACCCTGAAAGGTACACACATGCGTACACAAGCACATGCGCATACATCAATACTAGGGATTGACCGATGTAATTTTTCCAGAACCGATGCCGATACTGATTATTGGTTGCCATTCGGAGCTCCTAGAAAATGGGGACATTAGGATAGAAAATTGGGAGAGAGGGATTTGTGCCAAAAATAGGGATTGTCACTTGGTATGACATCCCTTTATCTTTCTGATATTGTCTGCTTTATTAAATTCTACATAATGTGGTCCTTAGGGTCAGTACATGCATATACTAGGGATCAACCAATATTGTTTTTTTAGAGCTGATACCGATAATCTGTGAACTTTCAGGCCGATAGCCGATAACTTGCCGACATTCTGTACATTTACCATTTTGAAAAACAAATACTATTTCTAAAGGTCATACATACATACAAATTGATGGAGTGTCTTGGTATACAATAAATGGCATATAATGCACAATAAAAGCTGTAAAGACAAAAAGGACAAAACCTACAATACGGTAAAAAATATTGGTGGCTTGAAGTATAATATGTGGTAGGTACTCACAAACCCAGAGCCAAAAGGAACTGGCTCAATTCCAACGCCTGTGGGGTAATTATAAGGGTTCCCACTCCCTTTCTATGTAGCAGCTATTCTTGTATTTTCTGTTGCCCCTGGAAAGAAGGGACCATTAGCTCTTGGATAGAGAAAGCTCTTCTTTAATAAAAATTCATAAAATATACAACTGTATTAAATCTAAAAAACAAATAAACATAAAAAGAGAGTGTGTATAAAAACACACAGAGTCTCTGTATAAAGTAATCCAAAGTACTCCACTGTGGGAGATCAGCAAGTCTCGTATCGCCCCAAAAAAGGGCTTCCTCAGTTGCTCCTCTATTTCTAAAGGTAAATGCACAAAATATACATGCCATATGTAGTGGATGCAGTGTGTTTAGACAGGGGAGCTGTGTGTGTTTGTGTGTTTGTGTAGTGAGTATATAATGAATGCAAAGTGTGTTTGTGTAGTGTGTTTATAATGAATGTTTGTGTAGTGTGTATAGTGAATGCAGTGAGTGTTTGTGTAGTGTGTATATATAGTGAATGCAGCGTGCGTAAAGTGAATGCAGTGTGTGTTGTGTTTGTATAGTGAATGCAGTGTGCATAAAGTGAATGCAGTGTGTTTGTGTAGTGTGTGTATATAATGAATACAGAGTGTGTGTGTTTGTACAGTGTGTGTATATAATGAATGCAGTGTGTGTGTGTTTGTGTAGTTTGTGTGTTTGTGTAGTGTGTGTGTATATAATGAACGCAGAGTGTGTGTTTGTATAGTGTGTGTATATAATGCAGAGTGTGTATAGTGTGTGTGTATATAATGCAGAGTGTGTGTAGTGTGTGTATATAATGAATGCAGTGTGTGTGTGTGTGTTTGTATAGTGTGTGTGTTTCTGAAGGGATGTAATTTGTGTAAAATGAGGGGGAGGGAGCATATTTTATTTGTAATAGTTATATGTTTTATTTTTTTGTCACCTCTCCCTGCTTGTTACCTGGCCAGGGAGGGGGCTATGGCATTCCCTGGTGGTGGAGTGGCACGGTCTGTGCAGTGGGGGGGCCCGCAGCAAGCTCTTACTTACCTCCCAGCAGCTCCCTGTGTAAATCTCGCGGCCTGCGTGCCGCAAGGAGCATTGCCATGGTAACCGGTGGCAACGCTCTGCGGCCGCGGGACTCGCAAGATTTACACAGGAAGCTGCTGGGAAGGTAAGTAAGAGCTTGCTGTAGGCCCCCCCAGGACCGCCGGGCTTGTAAGGGCACGGCGGTCCTGGTATGTATTATCGGCAATATTGGTATCTCTTTTGGCCGATATCGATATTGACGAAAATACAGAATATCGGCTGATAATATCCGTAAAACTGATAATCGGTCGATCGCTGGCATATACCATGGTACCTTGTTCTTTGCTATTCATAAGGTAATGCACCATTGATCCCTTTTCCTCAATTATTTTTAATTCAAGAAGTATGAAACGTTGGGATGCCACCTCTTTAGAAGAACTCTAAATACACTGTACACCAGAGTTGGTATACTGACTCAAATAAATGTGAGTGTCACTTTCAAGATACCTAAATCACCGGAGGAAATCTCGTACAGAATTAAGCTATATTTTTACTCCGTCTTCTTTCTATGTTACACATGTAAAAATCACTGCACTGTACTGGATATGATTAATATTTTAGATCTTAGTGTGAAAATTTCCAGATTTGACTAATTACATGACGTAAAGTCATGATTTTATTAAGGACACGGAGGTGAGTATTAGGCTTATCTCTTTCTTTTATTCCTCAGCAGCAAAGAAAACTAAGGTATTCATAGTATAGGAAAAAATGAACAAATACCCTCACAGGGTTAACCATTACTTCATTGGACGGTTCCAGAGAGGGTGTCCAGCGTCCGGGTGGCCGGATGCCATGGCCGGAGTGAGTTTGGGTAATAAAGTACCCGAAATTATGCAGGGAGAAAAGTGGGTTAGCCGCCCTGGCGGGCGGGAAAACGGAAGGGCGGCAGCCTGAAGCAGCACACCCCCAGGTGGCCCCCCACGAAGGGGCCAGCACGGAAAATTGTCAATTATATACAATAAACAGTGCAGTCATAGATAAAACACACACATAAACAGTATGACATGTCAGAGTAAATCAAATATGGTGGTACTTAGCTGAGGCAGCAGCAAAGAAAGAGGAGGAGATGGGGGTCACATGGGACTATATGATATGTGGACTATTCCCATTGGTTAAGATATAATGATGTAATGGTTAACCCTGTGAGGGTATTTGTTCATTTTTTCCTATACCATGAATACCTTAGCTTTCTTTGCTGCTGAGGAATAAAATAAAGAGATAAGCCTAATAAGAGCCTCTGTGTTCTTAATAAAATTAGATATTAGTCAGGTTAGGGTTAGTGTTAGTTCCCATATGTGGTAGCAATGGTCACATTACAATTATTTTTGGAAGAATGTCCACATAATAATCAATATTACTCCTTCTGTTGTGACTTTGACTCCAGAACTATGTTAATCAAGTAATTTTCTGAAAACTTAGCCAAAGTGGATAAGATAATGGTAGGCCACGTCTTGATAGTGGCCACTATGGTAGTATCACGTTATTGGAAGTCTGACATAGTTCCTGCTATTAAGATGGTACTAACACAGGGGCTGATCCAGAAACTAATCTCGGGAATGGCACTGGCAGATTATTTAAAGAAACAATTAGTGCACAATAACCACTTCAGCTCTCTGTATCGGTATAATGCCAGGAGTGCCATTGCGCCCTCCCATAGTAAGTAGTCAAACCATTTAAAAAACAATTTGACAACTTACCTGTGACCTGCCAGGATAGGGGAAGTGGAGTGTGTGTGTAAGGGGTGACGTGTGTGTGAGGAGTGACATGTGTGAGGGGTTAAGTGTGTGTGAGGGGTGGATTGAGTGTTTGTGAGGGGGGGCAGTGTGTGTGTGTGTGTGTGGAGGGGTGTAGAGTGTGTGTGAGGGGTGCAGAGTGTGTGAGTGGTAAAGTGTGTGTGTGAGGGGTACAATGTGTGTGTGAGTGATGTAGTATGTGTGTGTGTTTACATGTACATGGTATGTGTATGGAGTGCAGTGTGTGTGTGTGAGGGTGCAAAATGTGTATGGGGGACAGTGTGTGTATTGGGGCAGTGTGTGTATGTATAGGGGTGCCGTGTGTAAGGGGGGGAAAGAGTGTGTGTTTAGGGGGCAGAGTGTATATTTGGGGGGCAGTGTGTGTGTTTGTGGGTTCAGTGTGTATTTGGGGGGCAGTGTGTGTTTGTGTATTGGGGAAGTGTGTGTGTTTGTGGGGTGTAGTGTGTGTATGGCGGGTGTAGTGTGTATGTGTATGGGGGTGCAGTGTGTGTATGGAGGGCAGTGTATGTGTGGGGGGTGCAGTGTATATATTACGGACAGTGTGTTTGTGTGTGGCGCAGTGCGTGACAGTGTAAGTAGGTATTGTTTCTATGAAGGGGTAGATTAAATATAATATGTTTTGTATTATTAAAATTAATTTAGTTAATATCCCCCCTCCCTTCTTACCTCTGGCCTAGGAGTGGGGACAGTGTTTCCATTCCCTGGCAGTCCTAGTGGTGAGAGTGAACTCTAGCCTGCAGCTCAGCTAGAGTTCACTCTCGCGAGAACGGAGCATTGAGTCCGGTCTGTGTAGGCAAACAGCAGGGCCGGCGCTTGGATAGGGCCGGAATGGGAGACCCTGGACCTCACTATTTCCTCGGGGGGAGGAGGGGAGGAGCAATTTCCCTGTTGCCGACTCCTGCCCCCCCCCCCGGATCCGCCACTAACATTGGCATTAGAGAATGAGTCTTATGAGATGCACCTCAGATTGACATCAAACACGAGAATCATTAACTTACTACTGGAACCTATGGGTGGATAATTTCAAACAAATATACTCTTTATGATGACATTTTTGCTGGATTGTAGCTCATGTGCCTCTCCTTTTACTCTTGTTTTGTTAGCATGCGCAACATATACTATATATCTCCATCGCATGTATAGTGCTTTTCTGATATGAGATACTTTATTACACCTTATTTGACACTATGTAGTGTTTTTCATAATGCATATGTTGCCAATTTTAGAATGGATGGATGTTTTTCTCCATTTCTTTTTGTTTGTTTGATTTATTTGTATTCTTATTTTTTATTCTATATATTTCATTATTTTACGATGATTATTACTATTATTATTGTTGTTAAAAATGAAAACCTTTCAATAAAATAATTTGACAAGATATAAGGTCCATCCATTCACAGATCCCGTTGTATGTGCTTTCCTGGTCAAATCAGGGCATTTGACAACTGTGTCAGGACATGAACATCCCACCTCCTCATGGGCACAGGATATCAGGGATAATCATGTACTCCTACATAGTAATCTATGCAAGAAAGCAGATGCTTATGTAGAGATATACTAACTTAACAAAAATACATTCAAGGACAAATTCCTGTTAGGTTGCAGAGAACATATATTTTGAAGATAGCAAAAGTTATGTTGAGCTGCATTTTTTTAAGGTCAGATTTGGGCAACCAGTTATGAGACAGGTCTGGATGCCTGTTTTAAAAATCTGAAAACAAAGAATGAAGTTAATATAATTAAAAAAACAATAAATATTTATCGAGATAGAAATTATTTCTACTTTAAAGTTAAACACCATTTGTCATTGTCGTGCAAAAACCACAGGAATGCGAGCATAGTTCTACGGCATGCAAGTACATATATAAAAAGACGTGTAGTTTACATATCTGTGTAGTTAGTAGGTATAGATGCATACTTGGTGTATGAGTCACAATGCCACATTGTGCATTGTGGAATTGTGACTGATGAGCCATGATCCTTCAACAAATGTTCCCTCTTAAAAGGTGTCTAGCATATTCTGTAATGCTGTGCATTGATATATTTTTCATATTGAAATTGCACCTGATATAGAATTGTATATGATATATAATAGCCAATAAAATGATAAGCAAATGAGATTGTATCATATTTTTCACAATTATACACAGTTTCCTTCTGGATAAACATTAGCAAAAAAGGCAACTGTGGATGGCTAAATTTATATTATGGAAAAACCCTTGATGCTGATGCTATGTAATGCTTATTATATAAGCTAATATGATGCAAATATCTTACACAGTACAATAAGGACAGTGGACATCTATACATGTAAAAGAACCCACCAGTGTTAGCAATAAAAAAAGACTGTCGATAATTTCGGTTTTGGGTCCTCCTGTAAAGAAAAGATATTAGTTACAGCTAATATAGTGCACAAGACGGTTTCCTTGCCCCATATCTGCTCCTCTTGGAGATCCTTACTAGTGAGTCAAAAAGAAGCTTTGGGCTCCTTCACCTGTGGTTTTGGGGAAGTGCAAATAAAAGACTTGCCCCCTGAGTAACTTATGAGCTTGGTACATCTCAGTGGAATGGTGCAATTTAGTTTACTTATAAAATCTCTAGAAAGGGGGCACTCTGTTAACCCATAAAGCACTTGAACAAGCGGAAGGGGTTTGAAGTGTTCCTTTAAGAATAAGATTTACTTGTCACCCTGTCTCTTATTCATAACACCCGAAATATATTTAGTAAAATCTGTAATACAAATCGTACATGATTTATCATGTCCCTTTATTGTAATACATGTCAATAGCACAGAGGTCTATTGTCTGGTAGTTTGCAGACATTTGCGTATTCTGTATTTTATATAAGTTAAGATTTATTTATTTTTGTGGGGGGGGTGGTTGGGGGGCAGGGGGAAGCCCTCAAATCCCCTACATCTTGACATTCATAAAGCATATTAAAAAAATAAAAATCAACCGAAATGAACTTCATGGCTTTTTATGTTTGATGAGTCTTATAATCCGCTTATAATGAATTTCAATGCCAAAATATGTTTTAATGCACATGTACCTTTGGCATGTAACATACATTCCTCACTGACAAAGAAACACCAGGGCATATACCTCTCAACACCTTCTAAATACACAGAATCTGGATATGTAAGTCTCACTCCAGTTTAATGAGAAGAGACGCCAAGAATACATTCTTCAGCCTCCTCATGTAACACAGGATGAAAGACCGAACCTCATGCCAATAGCTAATGCTGAGTAATGTTCAACTCTTTATTTTTAATTTTTTTTAAGTAAACTTTAGAAACACAAGTCCTTCAATTCTTTCATTTTGTCAGAATAATGAAATACACGCATCTGCGTCTTGTAATAAACATTGTTGTTGTTTTTTTACAAATAAGTATATACTGTGTTCATGTTTGCTGATATAGCATCTCTATCTATATAGAGGAAATAAATATTGTGTGTGTAATAGCATTTTCTTCATGGGCAAGATCTTGCTGGAATTCATTAAAGGACCACAGCTTAATGAAGTGGTCTGGGTGCCTGGTCCAGCTAGGGTTAACCCTTTTTTTATAAACATAGCAGTTTCAGAGAAACTGCTATGTTTACACTGAGGGTTAATCCAGCCTCTAGAACCTCTAGTTGCTGTCTCATTGACAGCCGCTAGAGGCGCTTGCGTGCTTCTCACTGTGAAAATCACAGTGAGAAGACGCCAGAGTCCATAGGAAAGAATTGTAAATGCTTTCATATGAACTGGCTGAATGCGCGCGTGGCTCCTGCCGCGCATGCACATTCAGCAGATGACGTCGCTAGGAAGGAGGAGAGGAGGAGAGGAGGAGGAAAGCTCCCCACCCAGCGCTGGAGAAAGGTACGATTTTAACCCCTGCCTCTCCCCAGAGCCAGGCGTGAGGGGGACCCTGAGGTTGGGGGCACCCTCAGGGCACTATAGTGCCAGGAAAACGAGTATGTTTTCCTGGCACTATAGTGGTCCTTTAAGCTCCAAATGTGGTCTCTAATGGTTGGAATGCTTGGGGTGTTCCTTTAAAGGGACACTCCAGGCACCCAGACCACTTCTGCCCATTGGAGTGGTCTGGGTGCCAATCCCACTACCCTTAACCCTGCAACTGTAAATATTGCAGTTTTCATAAACTGCAATATTAACCTTGCAGGGTTAACTCCTCCTCTAGTGGCTGTCTACTAGACAGCCACCAGAGGGCACTTCCAGGTTTATAGCACACATTTCACACGCTATGTGAGGACCTCCAGCGTCGCTGAAATCCCCATAGGAAAGCATTGTAAGCATTTTTCAATGCTTTCCTATGGGGAGATCTAATGCGAGTGCGCGCATTAGGTCTCTCCCCGCCAGCGGCCGAGCATGTGCGATAGGTCACCCCCGCCGGATGACGTCAGCGGGGGAGGAGCGTGGGCGGACCCTGAACCAGCGCCGAGTGACGTCGGATCTGGATACTGGTAAGTCACTGAGGGGGTTTTAACCCCTTCAGCAACTTGGGGTTGGGGGGTGGGACAGTTTGTTTTCCTGGCACTGGAAAGTCCCTTTAAACATTCTAAGGAAAAGCAGTGTTTACATAGCTGCCTAGGGACACTTCCAGAGGCAGTCGTGACAGTCACCCTACATGGAGGCACCGAATATTCCCCAGTAGACATGCTGTCTGATTCGTGAATGATTTACTTAGTGGACTTTCGGTCTAGTAGAGTAGACCTGTTTACTGTGTGACTCAACTTTGGAGAAAACAATTGGCTGCACAACTAAACAGTATAAATATGGCATCCAAACACACTGTGTAATACTTTCCTGTGTTTTAAGGGTGAGAAATAGGAGAACACTTGGAACACAGCCACTAATTCTCTCCCACACTCTATAAAATGTATCCTTTGCAATCATTTGCTTGTTTTATCTTACCGCCTCCTTCTCTGACCCTAGTTACTAATACCTCACACAGTACAGAATTCTGAGCCTGATCTCACAAAGTGGGAAGGATAAGAATTAAAAGACAACTCTCATTTGAAATCTTATTTTCATATAATAATCATTTTATAAAGTAATGAAAGAAAATAGATTTAAAAAAAAAAAAGATATCATCCCTACCTTTCGTATATGAAAGGATCCTTTGGCCATATACATACACCTAGGGTCAGACAATGTTTGAAAACCAACAGCTAGTCTCTGCAAGTAGTGAAGCAGAGAAGATCATAGAGACTAACACTGTCTGATCCAAGGTGCATGTATATGGCTTAATGATCCTTTCATATAATAAATGTATGGATAAGTTTTTCTCATTTTTTACATATTCTTAATAAAAAAAATATGTTTTCCTTTCAATACTTGATGAAATGATTATTATATTAAAAAAATAGTTTTAATGTGATTTTTGGCATTTAATGAAATGGTCATTTGACACTTTAAACTTCACATTTGTGTTCAGTCAACTGAAGCAAAAGTCTGAGTCAGCTTTTAAGTGGCTCAGTAATATGTGAGTTTGCTAAATTATTCACAATTTAAAATTTATCTGGATGTTATAACCCTATGTTTTTTTCCTGATTTTATAGTTACAGGATTTTTAATTGAATACAAGGGTAAAGAAATTTACTGTTTGTGTGTGCTCTCACCGTATACTATTTTTTTCACTGATTTTATGAGTGACCCCACAGGTGATTGTAGCACTCTACTCCATTGTATTTTAACCTAATATACGCACGTTTTTCTTTTTAATTGAAGCAAAAGTGCATTGTGTCTCCATTCTTAATGTGTGTTTCTGACTTTTAGTTCTTACTTTGACTTTTGTGGCAAGTGTTGTGATAATTTAAGACACAATATAAAGTTTAAGCAAATATAACTGCATTGATCACTTGGGGGAATTTTAAAACTCTGCTATTTTAATGTGAACCCTTTCATCTGTTTCAACTCGCCACAACTCACTAATTAGTGGATAGACTCCTTTGTGTGTTGTGCTATGAGATGTTAAAAATAATCATTACAAATTCCACTATAATCGCACTCGATGGCTTAATAATAGTTGGCCACACTAAATAAAAGCGTCACTCTAGGGATTTCTGTGTAAATGAACTCCTACTTTGTTTAATGTTAACCATTCCTAGGCAGACCAGGACATGTCTGTCTGGCGGTTTACTAATACACTAGCCCTAATCCTAATTTCACTGAGTTGTTAGTCTCTTGGGTTATGTTTGGTGGGTGTTTTCTTAAACAGCACCCAGGCAGGGTTATACACTAAATTAGGGACTAGGAAGGGATTTAAAAGTTGAACAATACCTAAATTTGTTTCTACTTGAGCTATGGTGGATAAAGATTACAGTTGCTATCTTCAATTATCTGATTATATAAATCCATTACAAGAGGATTACAGAATAAGAGTGACATAAAGGGATATAAATTTACATTTAATTATAATACACTATGGTCGACCAAGAGTGTATGCATGATAGTACAGCACAGTTGTCTATATAGAGGATACCGCAAGACTGTGGGATCCACTATTGACCAACTCATGTGGATGTATGAGAAGGAGCTTCGTTCCCACAGCTATTGCAAACCTGATGGTGGAAGATCGGTCTTTTGTCAAGTTTTGCTAATTTGAGGCTTGACCGTAAGACAAACTACTAGCTGCTTTTGCTTATTACATCTTTTGATTACAGTGAAATTTCAGTGTAGTCCCAAACAGTCAAGATTATATTTCTATAATAATTTTATTGTAGTGAGAGAGCACCTATAAAGCATCATTATGGTTCCTTGGCTCCTTGTAAGTTTTTATGGATTTGCTCTTCATAATAGACAACTATCACTCCATGAGATATCAGGATTTTCTATAATACCGGCCTTTGTAGACATTTTTAAGTTAATTTTAGCTTTCAAACGCTCAATATCTACTTATCAATGGTGAAACTATCTGTGATTATACAATAATGAGTGCAACATACAATAATTATATTTAAATGTTTCCACAGTAATATTAAAGGGAGGAACACAATCAGCACCCAGTGATTTACAGTCAAACTGGCAGATATCTTGAGTATTCCAGAATGGCGACCTTTGGATTTTGGCAGCTAGTTTACCTTCTTGTCCTCATACAGGTAACAATTCAGATCTGTGTCATTTTCTACTTGGATAATTATCACAATGTTTCTCCAGTTCTTTACTTTTTCAAACATGATTTATTGATTTATTTAGATAGTTAAGCATGAAGACATTAGCCTTAAAGGTATTCTGCTGTGACAATCTTGTTCTATGCACTTACAGATAGGTCTTGTATTTACTGTCAATGCCGACTGTCAGGAAAATGAATTTGAGGATGAGCGTGGCAATTGTCTCCCATGTAAACAGTGTGGACCAGGACAAGAACTTTCCGAGGTGAGAAGAACATTGTAAAGTATATATAGCATAGAGCAGCCAGATCGACCATGCTTCCCTGGACAAATATAATAATTAAAAGGATTCTGTAGTGTTAGGAATACAAACCTGTATTCCTAGAACTGTAGTGCCCTCTGATCCCCTCCTCCACTGCTGCCCCCCATAGACGAAAATTATTTATGCACGATTATTTACGCACCCGATTCCAGCGCTGATGTCCCTCGCCGCTGGGTTGTGCTCCACCTTATCCGCTGTCATCTGATGGGGGTTGCTGTTGCGCAAGAAAGCATTGCCTCTATGCTTTCCTATGTGTATTTCACTGACACTGGATGTTCTTATGCAGAGCGTAAGGATATTCAGCATCATTTAAGAGACTCAGAGACCGTTAGAATCCAGGAAGTGCCTGTAGAGGCTGTCTGAAAGACAGTCTTAGTCCTGCAAGGTATTTATTCCACTTTCTCTAATCCTGCAATGTTTTACATTACAGGACTAAGGGTAACAGGGACACTGCATCAATGAGATGAAGTGGTCTGGGTGACTATAGTGAACCTTTAACAGCAAATAATAATTGTTTTGTTCCAGTTTTTTTTAAATTATATTCTGCTGAAGATAAACAAATTCATTAATCAACTGAGGATCCTAAAGGAATTGCCCTAATTAATTTCATTTCTGCAACAAATGCATTGTAATTGTGACAGGACATCACTTTTCATGCGCTCCTGCTGAGAATGAAGAATGTATGTGTCCGAGAAAATCTGGTGGTTCTGGCAACTCTAGCTAACAAGATCATTTTTAATAATTAATTCAGTGTACCCACTTTGCCTTGATAAGTATTCTGACAAACTTCTTGGCTGGTTATAGCAGTGGTAACATCACTTCCTTAAAACTGGGAAACCCAGGGCCTTCAACCCTAAATCCTCTTTCGGGATTGTAAAGTGCTGCAGAATATGTTGGCCCTATATTAAAGTTCTTATAATCATAACTCTCTTGGGCCTTTCCATGTGTTGCAGTGTTGCAAATAGGATTTGTTTTTTAATTGGTATTTTTACAATCTGGCACAGGACCAACACAATCATCACCCTTAGAGGACGATCCCTACTATACAGGAAAATTGTTTTGGTCCACAAGATACTTGAGACTGAAGTAGATGTTTACCTGTCAGCATATTAATGAATTTAAGATGCAGCCAAAGCTACTCTGGGAAGATTTGAATCAAACCAAAAAAACTGAATGCCTTAACACAGCCAATTCAAAGCTCAGATCTCATTCTGATTGAGAATATGTAGAACAATGTTAAAGGGACACTATAGTCACCAGAACAACTACAGCTTAATGTAGTTGTTCTGGTGTGTATAATAGCTCCTTTCAGGCATTTTCATGTAAACACTGCCTTTTCAGATTTGTCAACTAAATCTAAAAAATGTACTCAACTAAAATCTGACTAAAATTGTTAGTTGACAAAACCCCTTAAGACCGCAGGGCGTACTATTACGCCCTATTCTAAGCGGCTCTAAACGCCGCCGGGCATAATAGTACTCCCTCCGGTCTTTTCCTACTTACCCAGGGAGCCCCCCGCGGCACGTCCGACGTCCTGGAAGCCCCCCGGCCATGTGAGAGTGGGGTCCTTTTCATGGTGTTTTCAAAAGTTACAGCGTCAAATATAAGGCTTGCCAGATTGGTTAGGTTGCCTTTGAGACCCGATGGTAGCCCAAGATTGAAAATTACCCCTATGATGGCATACCATTTGCAATAGTAGACAACCCAAGGTATTGCAAACGGGGTATGTCCAGACTTTTTTAGTAGCCACTTAGTCACAAACACTGGCCAAAATTGGCGTTTTTTGCATTTTTCACACACAAACAAATACTAACGCTAACTTTGGCCAGTGTTTGTGACCAAATGGCTACTAAAAAAGACTGGACATACCCCATTTGCAATACCTTGGGTAGTCTACTATTGCAAATGGCATGCCATTATGGGTGTAAATTTCATTCCTTGGCTACTATACAGTATCAAAGGCAACGTAACCAATCTGGCGAATTTCAATTTCAAATGTAACGTGCTGTATTTGACCCTGTAACTTCCCAAAACGCCATAAAACCTGTACATAGGGGGTACTGTCTTACACCTGAGACTTTGTTGAATACAAATATGTGTATTTTATTGCAGTAAAAGCAAACAGTATTATGACATTGACCGTTAAAATGTCATGTAGAACTAAAAAAAAAAAAAAATGCCAGGTTTTGTTTACATTTTGTTTTGTTCACAACGTGTACATTTGGCTCCGTCCTTAAGGGGTTAACACTGATGTAGAAACATTTGAAAATGGTTCCCATCCAATCTGATTTACTTAAGTATTTATGCTCTGTAATTTGAGGTATAATTACAACCAAATGTGATTCTACAAACTCATGTGTGCAGGTGAGGGGTGAACTCTTATGTAATCATAAATGTTTTTTGCTTATTTACCTTTTGTGACACAATAAATTGTTAGGTATGTTGTGCAAAAAAAAATGTTAAACATCTCAGTAAAATCTATTTTAATTCCATATTGCTGCAAAATGTGGAAATGCCTGTGGGGGATAGGTGTGTGCGGCACATTTTATTAGGCTCGGCACTCAGGAATATTTAATCCCCAAAGTCAAACATTTAGCAAAGGGGCAATAATAGGATATTTAGTGCTAGCAGTCAAATTCAGTTCTTGCACCTCCTCTGTTCTTTATGCAAGACTTGGAAATGGAGAACGCAAGACTGCGACTCCACACCCCTGCAATTTCTTCCAATCAGTCATGCACATCTTGCGAGAAAAAAAAGTGTCAAGTCAGGTCCATATTGCTGTGCAATAAGAAATGTCTTAGTACTTGCTCCAATTTCTCATCGTACTCCCAATGATACTTTTGCAAGGAGGTAAGAGAGGGAAATTCAACAGCTAGGCATTACAGTCAGCAGTGTGAAAATGAAAAGTATGACCAGTTTAGCTTTGGTTGTGGTAGAGAATGTCTGGGCTCACATAGTACACTTTGCGCATTCCAGTGACAAAGGAGGTGAATTCTTATGCAGGGCACTATATAAATTTACATTTAACTATTCTTTATTAAAGTAGTATCAGTAATATGTTTGTTGGGGCATTAATTATATTAAGGGACCCTGTGTGCCCTGTAATTCCTTTATTTCAGTGAAGTGGTCATTGTGTCTAGAGTCCCCTGGCACCATCATTAAATTCGGCATTCAATTGCTTTTAATGCTTTAATGTTAAACAAGCGTTCTCAGCATTCCATCCCCCCTGTGTTGTTTGGGCTATTGTGGAAGCAATAACCTAAGCAGCAGCTGACGGCTGAGAAGGTCAGGTTGCCGTATTCACTCTATCACAGCTGCCATTGCTGATATGAATTGGTAAAGCTGTAAGACAGTGTGTAGGGAACAGTAGTGGCTGGGCGGTGGGTAGACAGATAGCCTTATATAGTGTTAAAATGCTTGAAAATGGTTAAAAACATTAAATATGGCATATTTCAAATTCTACTTATTTATTTGTCCAGGTTTAGTTTCATACAGAAATTTACAGTACAATGCTGTTGATGCAATGCATGTCACCTAGAAAGGAGGCATGTCAGCTTGAATTTGACAAGTAATTTAGCTAGTTACTTAAGACTGCACATGAGTGCTTGTTTAGTGAAGCTCTCAGGTTGCATTATTTGGGGGCTTTTAGTGGTGTCCCCAAAATTAGGAGACCAAATTAAAAACCACAGCAAGCCCAAATTAGGACTGTTGAGAGGCGAGTTATGATTTAACTTAAATTATTAGATTATGAGATATGTTTGTGTTTGTGTTTAGGACTGTGGAAATGGAAGAGATGCTCAGTGTGTCCCCTGTAGACCTGGCAGATATAAGGAGGATCGAGGACACCAGCGATGCCTCCGCTGTCTCCCTTGTGCTGTTATCAATCGTGTCTTGAAAGTTAACTGCACCCCTACCATGAACTCCATATGCGGTGACTGTCTACCAGGGTGAGTTTGGTTCCCTGAGTCCATTTAGTTGATATATGTTAACAGGCAAAGCTTGTTTTAGAATCTCATATTGCACAGATGGTAACATCATCCCTGAATCCCAGAATGAGCAGTTAACACTGCATGGATCACCTCTCTGCATTCTGGGGACCATAATCTCAGGCAGAACCTGAACATACATGAATCAGTACCCAGGATCAGTAGAAATTGCACACCCAAGTGGCACCTACCATCATTTTAATGATGGCAGCTAAAATAACAAGCACTCAAGAATTGTGTGTCACAGTGCTGCCCATACAATAAAACTTCCACTTAACCCCTACACTATTCTAACACCCTGCACTGTACTATCATATTAAGTTTAATCCCTACACAACCATAACAGCATCACTAAATATTAACCCCTATACTACACTATTGCTAAACATATATTAGTTCAATACACTAAACATGAACTCCTACATTACACTAAATCTAAACTAAACGTTAACAGTGCTAACAAATATATGCAATATAAAAAAAGTACAGATATTTATATAGGATACATAATGGTAACCCATGTATTATAGGAAAGTATCTCGTACATGTCCCAGTGGTGACTGAGACTGGTGGGAATAAACCGACATACGTTTAATAAAGCAATGTCAACTATTTTTAAAAACATTATTCACTTTAAAATTTGTTTGAAATTGAGTGCATTGTACTTGATTTGTTACCTGTAGTGATTTAAATCAGCAATTGAATTCATGTAAAAACATTGAACTATTTAAATTTAATAGGCTATAACCCTTAAAAAATAAGTTACATTAGAAAATGGGAATTTTTATAGAGCAAATGTACACATTTGAATTATCTCTTATGACATTTAGAGTATAGATTAAATGGAATGAAATACTTTAAATTATCTCTGTAAAACTTTTCCCAAATAACAATCGCTATGTAACTTGGTATCTCCTAGGTGAAATGTTATAGTGAACTTGTTGTAGTCCTTTGTCATTGCCTTGGAAAGCGCTCTGTTCTAGTACTGTTATCGCCTAATAGAAACACAGCACTCAGTGTGCCTCCCTATAATGTTGTAGGCATTGTTCGATCAGACATGGCTCATTCCATGGAAAAATACATCAGGGTATTCAGTTCAGCATACTCCTGAAACTTAAAATATTCACTTCCGATCTATAAAGCACAACCCAGCTAATGTGAAAAGAATGTAGAGACACGTTCTACTTCCTATCCCTTGTTTGTTGAGGATCAGGATTTTCTCTTGAAAAACAATGGTTTTACAAGAGATCAAGACCCTTATTCTGTATTTCCCAAATTGAAAAGTGCTACATTTTTTGTTTGTTTTGAACAACTGCAATATGTACATCTACATCATTTTTACTGTGTGTCATTCCTTTCAGGTTTTATAGTAAAACACGGATAGGAGGACTCCAGGAGTTGGAATGCTTCCCATGTACATCTAATACACCATCAACAGAGCCTCAGTGTATGTTGTCAAATTTATTAGCGATCTCAATGTAGTAATTTGCTGGTTCTGAAGAGCTTGCAACATACTAAAAATGTTTGTCCGTTATTCTGCAGGTCAGTCCAGGCCTGCATCTCTCCAGCCAGTGAGCACTGTTTCTCCTCCTCGGGACCCTGTCATTTTAGTGGCTGTTATAATGGTGGCCTTGGCACTAATACTCATTGCCTTGGTAACCTTCTCAGTTCTTTGCTGTGGACGCTTCTTCAAAATCCAATGTCAGAGGGGTGAGTAAAAAATATCCTAATCTATAGCTAGAGAAATGAGAGCAAATGCTGCCCGACACTTTGTGAACCTACCCATATCATTAATTCATTAAAATAGTCTAGAAGAGTAAACTGAGGTTTTGATTGACTTTTTTGCAGCATTTTATCGAAGAACACAACACTTCTACTTTAATAATTAGGCCAAAATGTTGTCCAATTTTAGTTTTGATTCAGTAAATGTCTGTGGTGTAGAAAATCAATCTGTGAGACTACATGGGCTATTTCTTTAGCAAGTCTGTTAAACGGATAAAAAATAAATAAAAATAAAAATCTTTATTGAAGACATTAGTGAGACTATGTAGATTAATTTAGAGGAATCTTTTCATCACAGGTTTAATGTAATTACTCTCTATATAGAATCCAAATACTTATTCCAGTAATATAGTGGACCAATGCCTGAGAAAGACATATACATTATACCACTAGATGTCTCTCCATCTCTGTTTGCAACATGGAAACAGTATCAATATAAATCAGTTCTTTAGCAGGTCTGTGTGAATGGGGGTGCAGAGATGTATTTATGAAGGATGTTGGTGTGTGTATGTGTGTGAAAATCTTTGGATTCATTTATATGGTGGGTTAGGGTGTAAATCAGGGGTATATTTACAAGCCTTTCCACTCTCCATGCTTCTGGCCATCTCCCTCCTATTGTCGCTAACCCACCTCTCCACTTGGCAACTCCCTCCCCATGTAATACACCTTCTTTTCCTTGCCCATGTAATGCACATTCTTTCCCTGCCCATGTAATACACATTATTTCCCTTGCCCATGTAATATACCTTCTTTTCCTGCCCATGTAATACACCATTGTTTTTCCTGCCCATGTAATACACCATTGTTTTTCCTGCCCATGTAATAAACCTTCTTTTAGCTCTCCGTGTAATACACCTTCTTTTCCCTGCCAATGTAATACGCCTTCTTTTCCTTGCCTATATAATAGACCTTCTTTACCCTGCCTATGTAATACACCTTCTTTTACTCTCCAAGTAATACACCTTCTTTTCTCTGCCAATGTAATACACCTTCTCTTGGGTCCCCGTGTAAAACACCTTCTTTTCCCTGCCCATGTAATATGCCATTTTTTCCCTGCCCGTGTAATACACCTTATTTTCACTGCCCATGTAATACACCTTCTTTTCCCTGCCCAGGTAATACACCTTCTGTTTTCTTCCCATGTAATTGGCCACATCCCAAAACTTCACTTTCCTTTTCTTCCCCATTTCACCATTCATGTCACACACACACTCATGCCCCTCCCTAAGTTACTAGTACACTTATTCCCATGTCATATCCTTTCTTTCCATTATCAAATTCACTTTTTCCTCCTTATGTCATCAGTTCACTCTTTTTTACGGCACATCTCGTTTTCTTCTCCATGTCACTTTTCCCCCTTCATATCTCTAGTCTACTGCCTCCTTAGGCAACTTTACTCTCCATATCTCTTGGGCTCTCTTTAACAGTGACATTTAATTTTCCTTTTTCTTGCCTGTGTCATATCAGCCCACAAGCCTACTAATTTCACTGTTCTCATCCACACTGCTAACCTTCTCACCCACTCACTGCTAGCACCATTTGTACCAACATGCCTCATATTTATAGGTGGCTGTTGTAATTAAACTACCCACAGATCATCTTGAAGAGTCTCAGCTTAGAACACAAGCCATGCAGCAATGTGAGATTCTTTATAAAGTCATTAGGAAACAATATATGTTGCAGCCATAGAAGTCTGACTTCCACTGACCATAAGATTTTTTATTTTTTTTTATAGCATTTCAGAGATCCCATAATTTTGCAGGTCAGCCGCGTAGTGTGGCAGAGAGTTGGGAAACCACACAGAGCCCACGTGAAGAGCAGCCAATTCCTCAATGCTGTTTTAGGTCTCCAGAGACGTGCCAACAGATACAAAGTGAGTTTAAGGTCAAATCTGCCATTTTTGTTTGCTGAAGGAGTGTTCACTTACATGACAGATTTCAGATTGTTCAGTAATCCTTCTTTATACATTCTGCAAATGTGAACAGTTATTCCAGTTACCCAAAAAAAAGAACATTGTCCACAATTCTAAAATTAACTAAATTGGCAACAAGCCTCATCTGTGCTACTTACTTGTAGTAGGTTTAAACAGATATTATAGCACCTACGATATCAATGTATTCTTCTGATACCTCATTAAATAAATTGACAAGCCCAGCAGAATGTTCTATATTTTTGATGATGTGCATGTACAAGGTTAAATGATAAATCTAAACCTTAGTTCCATCAGTTCATTTTTTTTTTTACATTATACGCAACTTGTGCAGTTATTGTTGAGGGAAGAAAATCATGGGAAAATAGTGCAACAGCTAGAAGGTTTCATTTTCAAGTTACAGCACCCTTCTGTTACCCCATAATTTAGAATGCTAATGTGTTTCATACATGTTTGATTTTTTTTTTTACAAAAGGTCCACTGGAAGAAGAAAGTCATGCAGTTTCAGACAAATCTTCCCCAAGTACCCACGTGAAATGCAATGACTTAGGTGCTCTTCAGCCATCTGTGGATCTGTGCCCATTACCTCCTGCATCCATCAAACCTCACTATACTCGAAGTGTATCAGAGACGCAGCCATTGATCCGTAACTCTGGCTGTAGTGACTGCTTTTCGGGCTGCACTCCTACCTCAGATTCTAGCCAAGTAGTAGCAGAACAACTGTCTACAAAAACTCAGTCATGCGCCTCAGAACAACAGCACTGGTCTCATGCTCCTGTTGAATGCACAGAACTTGATTTGCAGAACTTCTCGTCAGAGGTGGGATTTTCTGCAAGTGATCACACTGTGCCAAAGAACAGCTATGGTTCTCTGCCAGGTCCCAGCTCTCATACTTGTGTTAACATGGACATTACTCAAGATAGGGCCACCTCATCTACAAAGATAGAACAAAGATCAACATGTAGACACCTGTCTCCCCAAATTATGGTAAGTATGTTAGGTGTGAATTTTGTGAACTTTTCTGAACCATAATTGTTGTAGGAAATGCATTTTTGTTATATTCTACAGAATAAATAAAGCTAAGATCTTGAGTTATACATTAATTAATTACTGTGGTACCGAAGCTAATTCAAATGGCTGTAGACCCGGAGATCTGAAACTCTGGCACGCCCGATATTAATGGCCTACAACTCCTAGAATTCTTTGAATGCAGTAGATGGTAGTAGAATCATGGGATTTTTAGTTCAACCACATCTGGGAAATGCATGTGTTTCTGGATACTTTCATTCTAACAGTAATTATATAAAAATCTCCCTTTAGACATTTACATATTTAGCAAAGCAGAAGTAGCTAAGTGGGAGGGTCTGGGGCACAAAGGAGCAAAACATTTTAATTTTATTAAAACTAAATAGATTTAAATGTGAAGAAAAACACAACATGAATATGAGGTCAAAGGCTATAAAATGCATTTTAATTTGCGTTGATGTCCATAGTGTAAAGGAACATTCAAACCTTAGGAATACAAACATGTATTCCTTATACATGGGTGATTTAGATAATTGTGCTTCCAATCATGTTGTTTTATTTAACTTATTTCCCCGATGCCTTTTCTTTCTCAGAAAAAGCAACGCTTGACTCTGCTAATCCTGCAGACACAGGCTTGTTGCCCCGAAGCCACTACATTAAGATGTAGTGGTTCTGGTGCTTAAAGTTTCCCTTTAAGGACCAATGAAATGACAGCTTTTTGTAAGGTTTTTTGATTATTTCTTGTTCCTTAAGAGGTTAAACAGGAATTTTTATGGCAGTGAATACAGTATATCCCAAACTAAGTACATCTTGGCAATCTTCTTATAGCCTAGGCCATCTCTTTGTAGAGCAACAGTTCTTTTTTTCAGATCCTCAGAGAGTTCTTTGCCACTAGGTGCCATGTTGAACTTCCAGTGACCAGTATATGAGAGTGTGAGAGCGATCACACCAAATGTAACACACCTGCTCCCCATTCACACCTGAGACCTTGTAACACTAACGAGTCGGACTCCGGAGCGGGAAAATGGCTAATTGGGCCCAATTTGGACATTTCCACTTAGGGGTGTACTCACTTTTGTTGCCAACGGTTTAGACATTAATGGCTGTGTGTTTAGTTATTTTGAAGGGACAGCAAATTTACACTGCTATACAGGCTGTACACTTACTACTTTACATTGTAGCAGGGTGTCATTTCTTCAGTGTTGACACATTAAAATATATAATAAAATATTTACAAAAATGTGAGGTGTGTACTCACTTTTGTGAGGTACTGTATAAATGAGAATTAGAAACTATACATCAACAAACCCTCCAGTCAAATTTGCTGGATACTGTCCAAAGGCAAGAAAACACATATTAGGATTTTAAAGGTACATAACAAAATGTTAGGGTGATTTAAGGTAACATTCTATAGTTCAACATATTGAGGAACAAAGCTTTATTGAAGACATTAGTGGGAATATGTATCCTAATTTAGAGGAATATTTTCATCACAGCTTTAATGTAATTACTCTCTGTACAGAATCCAAATACTCATTCCATTAATATTGTGGACCAGTGCCAGAGAAAGACATGTGTGTTATACTAGTATTTACCACTAGATGTCTCTCCATCTTTGTTTCCAACATAGAAACAGTATCAATAGAAATTATTCAGCCGTCTCAGATAGACTTGTACTGTTAAATCAATGTATTTGTTTTCTGTACCAGTATAAGAAAGTCAGAGTTCGAAGAGCATCCTAAACAAAGCAGAGACTTTTCTTTTATGCCTTTCTGCGTCCTCTAGCTAAATAGAATAGTGATGACGATATAGTATATTATATTTATCAGAGTTAACTTGCACATGTGATACTTAGAATGTTTGAATGTTTAATGAAAGGCTTGTACAATCTATATTCATACTCAGAATTGACTTGCAAACAGTTACGTTTTGAATGTCCATTATATTTAGTTGATTGATCACTTATTATTTTGTAAGTTTACATTGATAACATTATGATTTTCAGTAATTAATGTTTTTGTTGTTTTGTTTTTTTTGTTTTCAGACATGTCAAGATTTGGTGTCCAAGCTGAAGAATGTCACTTTAGGTAAGTCCATTGATAACCTGAAAGAACATAAGTTTAGCTTCCAGACTCTATTCTGCTGCCTGTATCACAGGCTTATTTGCTTAAGTGTGAATTTTCAACAAATCAGTGTGACTTTAAAATGTAAACCAAAAACAATGAATTGAAAATAGAGCTGACTTTTTTTTACAATTTTGCTAATTTGACCTAAACTTTGAAATCCACTTAGAATTTTAGAAAATTCACAAGCACAGTGAATAATTCAGTTAATTTCTGCCAGGAATTCTGGTTCTGTCCCTACATCTTGTTTTGGCCCTTGTTGCTCCACATTTGAAGACATCATGAAAATGTCCCCAATCAGTGCAGTCAGTAGTAGGACTAATGCCAAATTAAACTACCGGTACTTTATTTAACTTGTTCAGCAGTGCCCAGTAATCCAAATAGTCAAGGAAACTTTTTTCCTTTAATAAATTGTATGAAGGGAGACAGGGACCCGAGATCTCCTTGCATCATATCCTTTGTAAGGAGTATAACTGAATATGATATTTGAAATGGTGCATTTAATTAATGTGCCAGTAGATAAAATGCACATCATTGTTTACACGTGTCATTTTCATACATATACAAATATACATAAACATATGCCTATACGTTTGGATGCACATAATTTATGTAGTTTAAGCCCCTGAAAACCTGGTTTAAAATAGGTGTACTTAAATGGTTGACTGACATTGCGTATACATACATTTACTCACTGTAATATTAACATTAAACAATAAATATATATATATTAATGAATGTGTTTGTGTAAATATATATATATATATATATGTGTCCAATGCTTGCACTCCAGTAACAGAAATTATATAGCCCGATGCTTGTCAGCGATAATAATAGTGATTTGGTATAAAGATAGCACTCCAAGGACTTCATAGAAAGTATGAAAAAATAACTTAGCTTTTATTCAGCAACTGCCACAGTGGATCAACGTATCAGTTCTATGTCAGAAGTTTCGTCAGGCTGATGCTGAATAAAAGCTAAGTTATTTTTTCATACTTTCTACGAAGTCCTTGGAGTGCTATCTTTATACTAAATCACTATATATATATATATATAGATTATATGCATCCTATTTTACCAACACAAACTACCTTGTTTTACCCTGCAGGTTTACACATTTCTCAAATTCCGCATTCCCTGGTTTTGTCACTTGGACATCAACTGGACCAGTTCATACCAGGACAAAAGAACTTCAAGGACCTTGGCATATCATTGGGACTATCTACCCAGATAATTAATCACATGCAGGGATTTGAGGCCCTGCACACCCACCTCTCCACTAGATCTTCCTGCACGTTGCTGCAAATGGTGCAGACTCTACAGGACCTGGCACGTGTTGATGCACTTTCTGTAATTTGCAAGCATTTTGGCCTACAGTGAGGTCCTCTAGTGGTGGGTTTTACAGTGGTTTACTCTGTGGCAGGCAGAATGAATAGGCAGAATGAACACCAGGATGCAAACAATACCTTGCACTTTTTAAAGGTTTTCATTAATGTAGGTTATATTACTTCTGGAACATCTGTACTGATCAAACACTACATAAATGTCTCATAAATAAAGTTTCTTCAAGGTAGAGGTTATGAATAGATTGGTGATTAATTAGGTGGCGCATTATGAATTGGGATGTCATAAAAGCTAATTTCCTAAAAGGAAACAGTACAGTGAAACAGGGGCATGCTCAATGACTTTTTTGGTTTGGCATAGGATATCCACCTTCAAGTGTATATTCTTTGTGTCCAGGTATGGTTGCAACTCTGCACATCAATGGAGTGGTGTATGAGAGAAGGTTTTTATAAATGTATAGTCCTATAAATATATACCACGTAGGACTTTTACTTCTTTTACATTTCATGAACTGAACTTATCTAGGACAAATTAATTATGTGAATATTTATGTAATTTTTATTTTTTTCTACTTTTAAGTTGGGAAAATGTTTTGTTAAGCAGCCTTGAAATATTGTAAAACACTATTTGGGTTTGTGTTATTTACAATATAGCTGCTTTCTATAGTCTTTACAATCTAATGCTGATATTGCATCATGATGAGCTTATTTATACTGTAAACATGGGGGGGGGGGTATTTAAAAATATGTTTTTATTAATTTTGCCACTGGGCAAGCTGTGTTCTGCAGGTTACAGTGCACAGTTATGTTTCTATAGTTAATATTTTAAGTACCAGTTCTTTCTATGTGTGTAGTCTGTGTAAATAGCAGTATGATAAATGAACCTAAATCCACATTATTATGAGGATCACTGCATATGGTATTCCTTTGGCATTATTCTGGTGAGTTATGTACTGGAGGATGAGTCTGTTATTACTCAAGATTATGGGATTTTGTAGGTTAATGTTATAACACATGCAATGCTTATAGATGGACAGTAGAGGGAAGCAAAGCGTCAAGCATTAAAGGAGTAATAACACTTCCCAGTATTGTTAATATGATGTTTACATATCTCTATATTTAACACATATGTGAGGTTTGAAAAATAAAATTAAATGTAGCAATACACATATCATTATCTTTATAATGGGTGCCTTAATATTAGCTCCCTTTTAACCAATAAGCTTTCTCTATGCTGACAGTCGACAGTCAGCATAATAAACAATATTTCTATTTCTCTGGATTATTTGCAATGCTTGCCCTGGCTTTGCTTTGGGTTATGGTATAATTTGATAAAATCTTTAATATAAATTTAAGAGAAAAAGCAACATCTCATGAAATAAGATGATTCAGTGTTTTACATGCCAGAGGAGTGACAATTCATCTTTAAGGCCAAAGAATAGTTCCAGAATAGTATGATATTGTTAATGTAGTTGAAATAAAAAAAACTAACTCTTGCTTTAATGACAAATATTTTCTTAGTTATTCGATGTGGAGGTATGCAATGCAACAGGCTATATAATAACTCATTTATTATGTATGCATTGTGGAGGTTGTAGACATTAACGGGGTTTTTCACTGAATTCAAAGTACATTTCAAATTTAATGACAGAGTAGTCATACTGAAAGCATAGATGTCTTAGAGAATATTTCCAGTGTGGCTATTTTAGCCATAAATATGAAATTCACTATGAATTCTCACTTTTGTGAATAACCCTTTATACAACTTACAGGTGTGTGATCGAAGTGTTTTTAATTTACATGCCTAAAGTATGCCACCCCTTTGGTTAATATATTACCTTCCATGTCACATTTTACTTCATTCTATAAGTGGATAAAACTAGTAGCCAATTAATTCGAGTTTATGCTAGAGCTTATATGTCTATCACAGTAAAGTGTGCTATTAAAGTATCCATCACTTATCTTGTTTGACATTAAAGTAAACGTTAATGTGACACACAGGCACGATAACCACTACAATCCGCTGTAGTAGTTATGGTGGCAAGAGTCTTCTGGTGCCATCTGACAATTGAACGCATTGACACTAACTCTGTGTTCGCTGAAAACCCGCTGACAATCACCTTGATAGAGATATTGCAAAAGTATAAGTTTCCCTTCCATTAAGGCAATATCGATGACATTTGCTAAGGCTGAATTTATTGGCTGAGAGTGTCAGCTGGTACTCACAGCCAATTGATTCCATCCAAACGAGGACAAAAAATAAAATTTCTAATGTAAAAAGATAATTTCCAAATAGAAAAAATTTCAGAATTGGTGTTCACAACAATTCCATCACTGTTCGTACTATAAAAATTAAAAACGTTATGTCACACCTGTGCAGTATAGTAAAAAATATATTTCAACATACAGTGATATACTCCCACGTATAGGATCCGGTAAACTACGTGTTTTGTGACACTGTGCCTGGAGAAACACATAGAGTACCAGAGCCTATTTGATTGGGGGTATATTACTGTATGTTGAATTATATTTTTTTACTATATTGCAGAGATGTGTGATAAGTTTTTTTCATATTTATGGAACCAGCAGTAATGGAATCCTTGTGAACACCAATTCTTATATTATTCCTATTTTAATGTGTTTTCTGAACTGACTTCATTTGGAGGTCACTGTGATATACTAAATGAGCCTTTTAAATTTTGCTTAGGCCAGGAAGAATTATACTTGCAACAGTTCAAGGAAGATATTTTTCACTTTTTTTTTTCTACTTTGAAAGAGAATTTCAGCTTTAATAATATCTCTTAAGAGCGGTTGGGCTCAAATAGAAACATAGAATGACCATTCAGCCCATCTAGTCTGCACAATTTTCTAAATACTTCCATTAGTCCCTGGCCTTATCTTATAGCTAGGATAGCCTTATGCCTATCCCACGCATGCTTAAACTCCTTTACTGTGTTAACCTCTACCACTTCAGCTGGAAGGCTATTCCATGCATCCACTACCCTCTCAGTTAAGTAATACTTCCTGAAATTATTTTTAAACCTTTGCCACTCTCATTTAAGACTATGTCCTCTTGTGGTTGTTTTCTACTTTTTAAATATAGTCTCCTCCTTTACTGTGTTGATTCCCTTTATGTATTTAAATGTTTCTATCATATCCCCCTGTTTCGTCTTTCCTCCAAGCTATACATTTTAAGCTCCTTAAACCTTTCCTTGTAAAATATCCTCACACTTCCAAAGTATTAATATTTAGTGTGAAACTGTTCTGAAATAGTTTGACATGTAACCATGAAATGGCACCATTGAACTCTTGATACCACAACAAATACAGTGAGCTGTGACGCCTATAGTGCTTATGGTGCTAAGTCGCCTCTTAAATGTTATGTTGGCATTATCCTTATTATCATTATAAGTAACATGCAGAATGCACGAATCTAATATTGTAACGGTATTGCATTAATCATTGCGTTGGATTTTGAGTTTTCTCTGCACCGTGAACAAGTATGTAATTAAATTACAGTAGGTTAAAAAAAATATCCAAAATGAGGATATTCCATCACAAATATTTTGGTTTCAGTTAAGTTAATAATTGTTTACTAAATAAAACTTTAATGCCCTCACTGCTTAGTGGAAATTCGAATTTTGTTTTCAGTAAGCCATGAGGTTATTAAATGACACTCAAGACACTTCGTAGGTTAGTTGTTTCTTTTTTTTTTAAGTTTTGGCCTCATAATAATCCTGTATTTTTCTCCACATTTAAATAGTTTAGAAAAAAAGTTTTTGCAGCTTTTTACAGCATTCCTTAACTTTAGGCATCTTCTACTTTTCACAAAACGTTCTTATTAGAAGTTGTGAAAAGTAACCGACTTTAAGCATCTGCAGCCAGTAACTGCCTTGCGTGTCCGGTGAAATTGTGTACTCCTAAACAGCCTCTTCCCACTAATAGTAACAACAGGCAACTTAGCGAATAGCTTCTTGTGTGTTAAAAGTAGCAATATACCTCCCAACTTCAGCCTCTTGTGAAGCAGAATTCCAGTGGGAGGGACATCACTGACTCTGCCCAAATTGGTGGACCCACCCAGAAAGGGTGTGTCCCTGCCTGTAGAATTGACAGGTCAGTCTGGTGTTAATGCATGCTAAGCTGCCTACCAATCAAAAAGGTCGGCCCATGCAGGGAGCACTGTTTTAGTGATCTTTGCTGTGTTCTAATGTATGCCTTCCAACTGTCTTGCTTTTAGCAGGAATGTCATGATTTCTGGGTCCTACCCCACTTCAGGTCCCTCGTGTGCTGCATGTGGCGACCACAGGGACCTGTCCTGGGCGCGGACGTATTAGCCGCGAGGCAAACAAGGCATTTGCCTTGGGAGGCATTTTCCAGGGGGCGGCAAAAAAAGCCACCCCCAAGTGCCAAGGGCGAATGTCTTGTTAGCCTTGCGGCTAACTGACAAGCCGGGCGGCCGGGCGGCGCTGGAGCACTTTCCCCTGAGCGCGCAGCTCAGCTCCCTCGTGCGCCGCAGAGTGATGCCGGGAGCCGGAATATGACGTCATATTCTGGCTCCCGGCATCACTCTGCGGCGCGCGAGGGAGCTGAGCAGAGTGCTCAGGGGAAAGTACTCCCTTGCCAGCGCCACCTGACCACCCAGCAACCCCACTAGACCCCAGGGAGAGGGAGAACCCCCCCAGCATTCCCAAAGGTAAGGAGGCTGGGGGGTTAAATTAAAAAAAAAGAAAAGTGAGTGTGTTAATGTGAGTGAGTGTCTGTTAGTGTGTGTGTGTGTGTCTGTTAGTGTGTGTGTGTTTCTGTTAGTGAGTGAGTGTGTGTGTGTCTGTTAGTGAGTGAGTGTGTGTGTCTGTTAGTGAGTGAGTGTCTGTCTATTAGTGTGTGTCTGTGTTAGTGAGTGAGTGTGTCTGTTTGGGGGGCGTCTGAATTTTGTCCTGCCTAGGGCAGCACAAAACCAGGATACACCACTGGTCCTGGGCAGCACAGGGGGGGTGCATCTTTAGACATGGATACTAGGACCATGCAGAGAGCACTTCAGCTGTGAATCTTGTATGGCCCCAAAAGCTGGATACTGGCCATGCTGACCCACTGATTTTCATGGTGGCCCCTCTTTATGGGCTTCGAGAATAGAAGCCCCACAGTTAGTGTGTGTGTGTGTTAGTGAGTGAGTGAGTGTGTCTGTTTGGGGGGGCGTCTGAATTTTGTCCTGCCTAGGGCAGCACAAAACCAGGATACACCACTGGTCCTGGGCAGCACAGGGGGGGTGCATCTTTAGACATGGATACTAGGACCATGCAGATAGCACTTCAGCTGTGAATCTTGCATGGCCCCAAAAGCTGGGTACTGGCCATGCTGACCCACTGATTTTCATGGTGGCCCCTCTTTATGGGCTTCGAGAATAGAAGCCCCACAGTTAGTGTGTGTGTGTGTTAGTGAGTGAGTGAGTGTGTCTGTTTGGGGGGGCGTCTGAATTTTGTCCTGCCTAGGGCAGCACAAAACCAGGATACACCACTGGTCCTGGGCAGCACAGGGGGGGTGCATCTTTAGACATGGATACTAGGACCATGCAGAGAGCACTTCAGCTGTGAATCTTGCATGGCCCCAAAAGCTGGGTACTGGCCATGCTGACCCAATGATTTTCATGGTGGCCCCTCTTTATGGGCTTCGAGAATAGAAGCCGCACAGTCATGTTATCCCTTGCGGCCCTTCCCATCTGTCCAAATTTTACCCAATGAAATGTTGCTAGGTATGTCCTGAGGATAGCACGAATGTGTCTAATAATGCGCTCATGCTATGCTTGTTAGGGAGAATTCCCTGGTGTCCCAGGACCCTAAAATCAGTACTGTTCCACTAAAATCTGAACAATTACTTGAAACGAGCCCTAAGATTCTATGGCTTACATAAGATTTTCAATCACATTTATACAGTTAGTTTTTTTCAATTACAATTTTAAAATGCAGTACAGAGTCATGGGAAATAATATAGTGGGACAATAGGCCAAAAACCATGACTGTTCCATGAATATTATGACAGCTGTCAAATATGTGCTTGTCTGTCAAGTGCTTAGTTTACTGGAACCTGAAGGCCTTTTTTTTTTTTCTCCTGCAAAGTTACACCAAACCTGCAATTTACTAACTGGGATAACTTTAATTGTTCAGAGTTGGTGCCAATTTTGTAGTGAAAACACTACATGCAATAATTTAAATACCTTTAATATCATGGACATATTTAGAAATAATTGCCAATAACAGCAGTGTTTTTTCAAAATCGGCATTTAGATAACCACTAACAACTCACAAATAAAGGATGAATCTACTTGAATATGGATAAAGCTGCCAAAATGATTTTTCCTATAAATAAACTGTGATATAGCTGTTATGCATCAGCTATGGGCTTTCCAAATCTAGCATTGATTTAAAGGAACACTTCGAGCATGGGTTTGTGGTTATGGTACCAGGAGTGCACCACCCCCTTCCACCGCCCCTGCCCCCTTCCAGTTTAAGTTGTTATAGCACAAGCTCTGAACCACTTAGCTCAGACAGAAAGGCTTGCAGCTCTCTGTAGGCATAGTGGTGGCAGGGAGAAGCACATAGTGGATCTTAGGAAATAAGAATTAAAAAGTGGTTTGGCTACTTACAAAAATAGAGCACCATGGCAATGTATTTATGGTGCTTGGAGAGTTACTTAAATATGTATTTTTACCAAAACAGTGTTGGGATATGCATTTCATAGGGGTCCTTTAATCAAATCATAAACCGGCATACTTAGTAAGTTATAACTTTAGCCAGAAAACGTTTATGCTCTTCAATACATCTTTGCTCAAAGGAGTTTGCAATATACAATAAAATATTTTTAGTTCTAAAGGGATTATTGTGTCCTCAAAAAAAAATGTTGCTTGCTGTATTTGAGCCACATTGCAATGTAGTGACATTCTTACATTTTGTGTGATTACTTTGACTGAAGATGTAAAAATTATTTTTTTCATATTGTCTTCCTGTTTTATATTGTTTGTGTTGGGAATTTACTCATGTAGACTTGTATACCATTGTTGTACTAAAATAAAGTTTGCACTATAGAAACAGACCGAAGTGCAAGTGTACTTAATGCAGCCACAAAACAACACACATGTTGCAGCCCACTGATACCCCTAATGAAAGAAGATATGGGTTGCATTGTGTGTGTGTATTACGAGCTGTAGTATGTTTATATGTATAGGGGCTGTAGTGTTTGTATATATGGAGCACAGTGAGTGTGTATGTGTGTATATGGGGTGTATTGTATGTGCATGGGGGTATAGTGTGTATGCACAGGGGTTGAGTGTTTGCGAAAGGGGTATCTTGTTTTTGTGTAGGGGAAATAGCATGTGTATACACGGCCAGTTATAGGCCTTTAGGCCTCCCTACCTTTGGGAGTGCTGGCATGTAGTCTCTATTTTCCTGGGGTCCAGTGAGGCTGCTGGGCTGAGCGTCTGGCGTGCAGTTGCTAGGGTCCAGTAGGGCTGCTGGGCTTAGTGGCTGGCATGCAGCCTCTGGGGACCAGTGGGGCTACTGGGCTGAGTGGCTGGCATGCAGTCCCTGCGGTCCAGTGGGGTTGCTGGGCTGAGCGGCTGGCGTGCAGTGCGGGCGGCAAGGGAGCAGTGATCTTCCTTCTCATCTCCCTCATACTCCTCTTAGTGATGCTGAGGCCAGCATCGCTGCGGTGCACGCAAGGGAGCTGAGCAGGGGAGAGTGCTCCGTCGCCGCCAGCCTCAATTATCAGCGGCTGATGACTAGGCCAAATAGCAGCGGCCATTTTGTTTGCCGAAATTACGGCGGATCCCCATTTGTGTTCTTGCAGAAGCCCAGGGTTCCTCAAAACATCAATTCGGAAACGCTGGTCTAATGGATTCCCAGACCCATCTCCCTCCCAGCTCCATCCTACTAATTTCCTAGTTCCACTACCTCTTTTCTGCCAGACATTATTTAGCTTCTATGGAGTGAACATGTAAGTGTGAAAAGGTTTACATATGTGTCAGTCTATGTAAAATAATATATTCACTATGTGTCATATCTCAAATGACGTTTTATTCCTGATTTAGCAAAAACTTATTAAAAAAATAAATAACAGTCTAATCCTGTCTGCAAGTGTGCAAAACAAAACACTAAACCACTAAGGCTATATGATAACAAGTCACAAATCTCAATTCCAATACAGCACTGTGTGCCTGCTGAACATATATCGTCAGAAACCAGCACTGTTTGAGTTTGATGAATATGCACCTCCCAATAAAGTTTATATTTTTTGACCAGTCTATCTCAGGTTTCCAGATAGCGTTTCATTATTATCCTATTCTGTATCCTCTTTATTTTATTTATTTTTTTATATTGACAATTGTAATAATTTCATTTTTAACACAATTTATTACATCAAAGCAGGAATAGTGTAAAGACTAGAATGGAAGAAATCTGATTAGTAGTCTTCTGATACATGTGAAGTTATTTGAAGTTGTTTGCATTAAGTCCTTTGATTTTAACCCCTTAAGGACACAGCTTCAGAAGCTTGACTTACGCTTAATGACACAAGCAATTTTTGCATTTTCTTGCTGTTTGCGTTCAAATGCAATTTGCATCTCTCTCATTTATTGCACCGACACATATTATATACTGTTTTTTAAAGGACAGAAAGGGCTTTAATTTGATATAACATATATATATATAAATGCTTACTTATTATAAAAAAAATACAGAAAAATGCAAAAAAAATGAAAAATATTGTTTTTTTTTACAGTTTTTGCAATAATAATGTGTGCATAATTAGTGCAGGTTAAGGAAAGTAATTAAAAATAAATTTATTTATTTGTTCTGATTTACAGAATATATAATGTGTCTGGGATTTTCAGTTTTTTTTGGTAGTTACAGGTCACAAAGCACAAGGAGTAAAATAAACTTTTAATGTGGAGCGATTTTAGAATTTGGTATGTTTGTCTTGTAAGCCTAATAGCCATAAAAGAAAACAAAATTGCCACACAAAAGTATATATTTATATAAAGTAGACATCACAGGCTATTTACCTAAGGTGGTTTTGACACTTTCTACATAGCCATTTCACCGCCAACCTCTGCTAAATATTGGAGTAAAATTTAGTTTTTTGGGGTTTTTGGCACACAAACTTATAACAAAGAACTTCTCATGTTTATTTTGTAAAGTTGGTGTGTGCTATTCCTGTACAAAGTTTTATCTTGTGTTCAGTTACATCTGCTGATTAAAATGACACCCCCATTGTATGTCTTTGGCACTATTTCGTGAAGTTACAGTGCCATTTAGGTGACTTGTCCTTTTCAGTATTCACAGTAGATTTTTGAGAGACGGATTTAATGAGCCTATGCATCCATTTGGGGTATTATAACAGTTTGACTGTTCAAAAAAACCCCACAAAGGCCTACCATTTGTAAAAGTAGACACTCCAGGGTATCTCATTAGGTGCATATTGTGCCTTAACATGCTCCCATTTTTTCACCAATATATGCCAAAGTATGTGGTAAAAAATAATTTTGTGCGTTTTTTACATATGGATTGCATTTTTGCTGGGCATTTTGTATATTTCACATGTGCCACTAAGTTCAAACCCCCCAAATTATGCTCAGCTAAGTCTTCTGAGTAAAATGACACCCCCATTGTATGTCTTTGGCACTATTTCGTGAAGTTACAGTGCCATATAGGAGACCTATCCTTTTCAGTATTCAAAGTAGAATTTTGAGAGACGGATTTAATGAGCCTATGCGTCCATTTGGGGTATTATAACAGTTTGACTGTTCAAAAAAACCCCACAAAGGCCTACCATTTGTAAAAGTAGACACTCCAGGGTATCTCATAAGGTGCATATTGTGCCTTAACATGCCCCCATTTTTTCACCAATATATGCCAAAGTATGTGGTAAAAAATAATTTTGTGCGTTTTTTACATATGGATTGCATTTTTGCTGGGCATTTTGTATATTTCATATGTGCCACTAAGTTCAAACCCCCCAAATTATGCTCAGCTAAGTCTTCTGAGTAAAATGACACCCCATATGAATGTCTTTGGCACTATTTCGTGAAGCTACAGTGCCATATAGGAGACCTGTCCTTTACAGTATTCACAGTAGAATTTTGAGAGCCGGATTTAATGAGCCTTAGCTTCCATTTGGGGTATTATAACAGTTTGACTGTTCAAAAAAAACCCACAAAGGCCTACCATTTGTAAAAGTAGACACTCCAGGGTATCTCATAAGGTGCATATTGTGCCTTAACATGCCCCCATTTTTTCACCAATATATGCCAAATTATGTGGTAAAAAATAATTTTGTGCGTTTTTTACATATGGATTGCATTTTTGCTGGGCATTTTGTATATTTCACATGTGCCACTAAGTTCAAACCCCCCAAATTATGCTCAGCTAAGTCTTCTGAGTAAAATGACACCCCTATTGTATGTCTTTGGCACTATTCCGTGAAGCTACAGTGCCATATAGGAGACCTGTCCTTTTCAGTATTCACAGTAGAATTTTGAGAGACGGATTTAATGAGCCTATGCTTCCATTTGGGGTATTATACCAGTTTAACTGTTCAAAAAACAAAACAAAACACAAAGGCCTACCATTTGTAAAAGTAGACACTCCAGGGTATCTCATCAGGTGCATATTGTGCCTTAACATGCCCCCATTTATTCACCAATATATGCTAAAGTATGTGATAAAAAATAATTTTGTGCGTTTTTTACATATGGATTGCATTTTTGCTAGGCATTTTGTGTATTTCACATGTGCCACTAAGTTCAAACCCCCCAAATTATGCTCAGCTAAGTCTTCTGAGTAAAATGACACCCCCATTGTATGTCTTTGGCACTATTTCGTGAAGTTACAGTGCCATATAGGAGACCTATCCTTTTCAGTATTCAAAGTAGAATTTTGAGAGACGGATTTAATGAGCCTTAGCTTCCATTTGGGGTATTATAACAGTTTGACTGTTCAAAAAAACTCCCACAAAGGCCTACCATTTGTAAAAGTAGACACTCCAGGGTATCTCATAAGGTGCATATTGTGCCTTAACATGCTCCCATTTTTTCACCAATATATGCCAAATTATGTGGTAAAAAATAATTTTGTGCGTTTTTTACATATGGATTGCATTTTTGCTAGGCATTTTGTGTATTTCACATGTGCCACTAAGTTCAAACCCCCCAAATTATGCTCAGCTAAGTCTTCTGAGTAAAATGACACCCCCATTGTATGTCTTTGGCACTATTTCGTGAAGTTACAGTGCCATATAGGAGACCTATCCATTTCAGTATTTACAGTACAATTTTGAGAGATGGATTTAATTGGCCTATGCTTCAATTTGGGACATTATTGCAGTTGGAAAGTTCAAAAAAACCCACAAAGGCCTACCATTTCCTAAAGTAGACACCCCAGGGTATTTGAAAAGGCATATTTTAAACCTTAGCGTTGGATCATTTTTTTGTTAGTTTGTACCAAGTCTAGTTACAATGAGCATTTTTTCTGCCTTTTTGACACACACTTGGAGTTGTTACTGTATATTTTGTAATCCTTATGTGTGCTATGGCAGTAGAACACCTAATATGTTGCTCAGCTATGTCATCTTAGTGCAACAATACCCCCATGTGTACCCTTTTCAGGGATATGTGGATGTTGAAGGGGCACATTGGAGACCAAGCCATATCATTTTTACCGAACTTTGAATTTTGATGCTCGGCCCATGTGCAATTTCCAAGCATCTTAGCAGGTTTTAAGTTCAAATTACCCCACAAAGGCCTACCATTTCTTAAAGTAGACACCCCAGGGCATTTCAAAAGGCATATTTTAAACCTTAGCGTAGGATCATTTTTTTGTTAGTTTGTACCAAGTCTAGTTGCAATTAGCATTTTTTCTGCCTTTTTGACACACACTTGGAGATGTTACTGTATATTTTGCTATCCTTGTGTGTGCTACGGCAGTATAACACCTAATATGTTGCTCAGCTATGTCATCTTAGTTATACAATAACCCCATGTGTACCTTTTTCAGAGTTATGTGGATGTTGAAGGGGCACATTGGAGA